CGAAGGCCGTTTCGAGGAAAAAGAGACCTCTGGACCGACGAAAAAGTGCATGCTTAAAGCGCGTTAAACGATGATTTAATGCCAATAAATAAGTGTAAACGTTCATTACAGATAATTAATGTATCTGCACAGAGGTCAGACAGTCAGGGAAAAGTGAAACTACAATTAGACGGCTTAACAGCATTATGGCGTGGACGATTAAGACTTGAGTTACGTGGTGCGGTGCGGCAAATTGACATTTCACCTGTGCGAAGTGGTCGTCTCTGGTCTCTGTGGTCTCTGCCATTGATCTCTTTATCAGGTGGTGGTCGGGTCTTCAGAGACTAGACCTGGTATCGAGGTTTTTCGAGGGGTTCGAGGAGTCTTGAAGTCTTCGTCTGGGATTTTGGACGAACGTTAGTGCTGCATATGCCCCAAATCCAGGCAACAATCTCAACTCTGCCCGCCTGACAATGTCGCCCAATTCGTCTTGCACTTTTCATGCCCGCCGGCTGGAAATTTTGTATTTTTTTCCGATTTTTCCCCTCCCATTTTGCGCCGACACTTGGGTTTCAGTTTTCAGCGCTCGTTTTTCGGTTCGGTTTTGGGTTTCGGTTTTGGTTAGCCTTTTCAATTTAAAATGTAAATCAAGTGTGAAAAACAAAATCTGCAGAGAAAGTGTTGCAATTGCAATTTGCTTGTTGCGATTTTTGACGTTTCTCGCTCGGAGGCTGTGTATTGATTTATTTTGATTGTTAATCAATTTGGCCAACGCTGTCCCCCGAACACTGTCCGCTCTGGTAATAGTTCAATGAAATTATAAATCAGTCGGCCAATTCCCGTCCATCCACCCGATTCCGGGTGGTTTCCCCCCATTTCCAATCCTTTACTTTTTGGTTAACGTTTTGCCGGTTGCCAATCGAGTAATCGAGTAATCCGAGACAAACCCGAAAGAATGCAAGTGACACACTTTTGAGATCTTTCACTGCGCCACTATTAACCCACTAAAGGTGGCACAAAAAGTTGAGCTCAATTTTAAGGTGTTCATATATTTTGTTTGTTACTTAAAAGTCAACTTTTTTGAATTTGAAGGAAAAATGCTGAAGAACCTCACAAGTTTGCCTTTAAGGCATCAACGAGAAGCATAAAAATCTAGATAAATCTTAAAGTTAACATTTTCCTAAGAATTTAACTGCTTATTTACTATTCTTACTTCAAGATTGGTAAATCACGAATATTTAATGTTAAGCAATCAAGATTTCTTTAAGGCAAAATTTCTGCAAAACCCCACAAATGAAGTTCTGAAGTTCTTCAAGGTAGCTAGGCAGATGTTCTCCCAAGTTAAATATTTCTAGAAATGTGCTACCCATCATAAGATACTTAAATATTCAGCTTAAAAAACAAAGGTATTTGTGTCAGACATTGACAGACAGCTAATAATTTTCCTTATATAACATTTATGCCTAGTGTCTTAGCCCTAACTAGGTCAAAGCACAGAAATGCCAGACCCATTTCCCGCAAAGTCCTAAAACGTCACATATTTCAAAGTTCTCGAACAGAATTTTCTTTCTCTTCAGCAAGAACCAACCTTAGTGGGTTAAGGTGATGGGGAGGCGGCTCATTTGTCAGCAGGAAGCTGCTGGAATCGAGGAAAGCCAATGCTGCGCGCTTTTTCTGCCAAAAGGTTATGGCGCAATTTGCGCATGCGCACGCAAATTACGCGCCATAAATCATGCGACGGAACGCAAGGCGACTTTTGTGGCAATGCTGACTTTTTTTTTTTTTTTGCTCCTTGGGCTTGGCTTTTTGTGGGAGTTGCCCCAACTGTCACCGTCGCTGATTGCCGGTGGCTGCCGCATTGCGAGATTAGCAAGAAGCGATAAACACATAAACCAAAATAAATTGTAAAGAAAGTGGATGTGGATGTGGACACACGGCAATGGCAATCCACCGCGTTCGATGGTCGCGTGCGTAAGCAATTACATATGGCTGTGTAAAAAACGGAAAACGGAAAGGTGGGGAATTGTTTTCGGCCATGTGTGTGCATCTGCGGTCGCTTTGACATTTGCTCTCCTGACCCTGACCCACAAAGAGCACTGCAGCGTTCGCTTTGGCAAATTGAAAAAGAAAACTCAACTTGAGCCATGTCAATCACTCTGGCACTTTACCTCCCCTCAACCCACCCACTCAGTTGGCATGGAAATCTTCTTCTTTGAGCCAGGTATTTCTTTCATTTCTTTGCCAATTTTTTGCTTTGTTTTCCTTTTTTTTTTTTTTTAACTTTTTGCACTTCTTGACGGTCGCGGTCGGCTGCTGTGCCCCCAAGGTTAACGGCGCAAACAAAGCGGGCCAAACAGCCAAATGGAACCGGCCAAAATGAAATGGAATGAAGCTCGTCATGGATCCCAAAAGCCAGCGGCTAGAGATGGCCGACTGACAAGCTCTCCGATTCGGTTGGGAATCAATCTAGTAAGTTGGAAGCGGAACCGAGTTTATTCAGATCAAAAATGGGTTAAATTTGGTTAGTGGTAAGGATATATCTTTAACTAGATATCAGTTCATATTATAAATATTAAGTTTGTAAATCCCCTTAAGGAGTCTTTATAGTGAAGACGGCACCCGCAATCTCATCTTTCCAAGAACCCTTCAAACCCAATGCTAAATTTAATTCTCTAAATATATCAATTTCATTTTGGCGGCATTCACCTACTTTGGCTCCCTTCGACTGACCCAGAACAATCACATTTGGCAGGCACAAGTGCTTTGGATACCCAAGTCAGAATCCAAGCCAGAAATCACGAGACGAGATCATAACTCTCACGCTCCGATTTCGACCGTCTCTAGGCCCATGGGCACTTCGGCGCCGACTTTGTTCTTCTGACTGCCAAAGCCAGGCCCAAAACGTCACTCCAAAGAGCCAACACTCAACCCGTTCGCGTTGCTCTCATCGTGTTTATAGTTGTTTTCCGATTCGGATTCGGATTTGGTGAGTAGCCAGCCGTCTGAGGAGCCAGCAGCGGCATTGGGGCTTTCTGACAGCCTCTGCTGCCTGGCATGTACATTTTTATGGGTTTTTGGAGATGGTGATGGAGATGGTTTGTTCGTCGTCGCCGTTGTCCATAGAACAGCTGCATTCTTGGAAGTCAAAAGCGAGACGCAGACGTGTAACCCCCTCGTTGCCATGGCTTTGTGGGTTCTAACTGTTGCTGATTGACTCTGAAGACTCGTCTGGCGGCTCGTTTCGCAGGGCGTTGCAGAGGTTTCTGATTACAAATTGAATTTTATTAGTTTGCTTGCCACACCGCATTGATTTATGATTCCTCTATATATATATATATATATATATATACACTATAACTAAAAACACCCCAAGTAGAACTTGGCTTTGTAGGTTGCCTTTAATTAAGACCAAGTGTCAATATGATTTATGCTCTACACACTCTCGTCGGTATAATTAAAGATTCGAAATCATCTTAGCATTTAAGCTTTCCCTTTGGCCAGTTATTATTTGTTATTTGTAGCTTCGAGAGAGGTGGACACATTGCGTGCGATTGCATTACGAGTGAAATTTGCCAACTTTTACAAAAGATCTTGGGATATTGATAACCTTTTTGCCTAGGTTTTGGGTTGCTGCCGCCTCCGACTTGGTTCCTGCTCCTTCTGCCGCCGCCGCCGCCGCTGTTGCTGCTGCTGCTGACATCATCAAATTCGAATCCCATTCCCAGTCCATGTCCAAGCTGGCAATTTCATTCGATGGCATCCATTTGGGTTGGTTTTGATTACATAAATTTGGCGCCGTCTGCGATCGCGATGCGATGTGATGCGATGCGATCCGATGCTGTGCGATGCTGAGCGGTTCCATTTGCATCTTCAAAGTCCAAGTGGTGTGCCTGCCTGGAAATGTGGGTCAGCGGTCTTCGGTCTTCGGCTTGGGTGCGGCTCGTAGGCTCTCTGGACATCGCCATATGTAATTACAATAACTGCAACTTCCAATGCAACACAGCATCAAAGCAAACAACACGATCTCAAAGTAAAATGTCTCGAAACCTGTCGCTTTTAATTAAAGGCCCCGCAAACTCCGACTCTAAGTAACTTTTCATGTTCCAAGTTATGCGCACAATTTTAAGCGACAGCCTCCACAAAAAGCCATTCAACATAAAAATAACTTTAGCATTTAGTCATAACTGCATTTAAAACGTTATTGTTGCGGGTAAATATTGTAAATGTTTTCATTTTTTCATATGCAAAAAAAAAATATAAAACAAAATAACGAAAAAGAAAAAACGAGGGAAAAATCTCGCTTGGGCTTGGGCTCAGGTCCGACCCACTTCTGTCATGTTGTACGATAAATACTTTGAGATTTATTGTCTGTAGCGGTGGCAGGCATAATTACAATTTATGCCCAAGGTGGTCCCCAAAAAACACCCGCCAAGTCCCGCCTTGTGCAATAGACCCCAAACTGCGCAGCTCCTCCCCGAACTGCCAGCTCCATCTCAATCTCAATCCCAGCTCCATTCCCATTTCCATTCCCAATACCAATCTCCGCCAAGTTGCCAAGTTCAAAAGCGTGTTTGAGGAAGCTGTCGCCAAAGACAAAGACCCATACAAATTGCCAGGGAAGCCGTCTGGCCGTCCCTCTGACAGCCCGTACGTTGTTTACCTGTCTCGCATTTGCCATTATTCTTGGCTGAATTGAAAGTGAACACCACCCAATATTGGGAATAGGGAAGAGAAGATCGAAGATCGCATACCCTTTAAGGAAATACCTCATAATAGGTCACAGATCTTGACTGATTTAAGGACACCAGCACCAGAAAGGCGACACAAGAAAAGAAGGAAAAACGAACAGTGTGACCGAAGAATATAAATTCATTCATGTCTTAAGATATTTGCTCTTGATATTTCTTTATAGGAATAGGGGTATTCCAACAAAAACGTTTAAAAACCAGTAAGAAAGCTTCCACTTAAGTTATTCAAAGTTCTCCGAGGAAACCATTAATAAGTAAAATTTTTTAAAAATATTTATTTTAATTAGGCATACAAAAGTCGTACAAAAATAGTGTTTTTTATAAATTGCGCATCGAATAAATATTTTACGCAATGTTTACCTAATGGCACCATTAGAAATTATGATAACCGTGCCACAGCGAGGTGAGTGTTCCACGTTTAACTGGTTTCGGGGGACTCGATTTCGGGTGGATTTTTTTCACAGTGCAGCCCACAGGCAGATTGACCTACAAATTAAGAATAAATATTATAAAAGGAGATATACCAAATTTATTGGTATCTAAAACTTACTGATTTTTCGGCTGTTACCAGAACGGGCTCTGAATTTGGACAGACGACATAAGTGCCAGGACCATCAAAGTTAATATCGGCATCAAAGTCGATCTCCGGCTGGATAATTGGAGGAACGAACTTGGGAGCTATATAAATATATAATAAATTTTTAATTAAATTTAACCTTAAGTTAATAAAGGATAATTATGAGGATCTTTACGTTTCACATAAATAATAAAAGTGCAGCTTAGAGTTCTGCCATCGGTAGTAGTGGCCTCGTATTTAACTGTGTGATCTCCCTCTTTAAACAATGAACCAGGAAACTAAAAATAGTTAACAAAAAATATAGATTTACTTAGTTAAATAAATATATTAAATCTCTACTCACATGAGAGTTGTATATTCTGAGCAGTTTTCCCTGGAACCGTGGTTCTTCCCAGACCACCGATCGCAGATGCTGATTCTCCTTCAGATAAACTTCAATCGAAGGTGGACAATAGTTTGAGGAATCCGATCCCAATTTCACTCGAGTGCTTTCTTGACGAACAGGGGCAGGAGCAGGAGCAGGAACGGGATCAATGATCTTGGATGATTTTTGGGAAAGGGGCTCAAAACTAGAAAACGAAGAGGGCTCAGAATCAAAGGAACTGGGACTAGGGACTTCCGACTGCCTCAATGAACTGTGAGTAGAAAATGTGGGAAAGGGAGCCGACTCCTGAGAGAAGGACTCTAGTTTGGAGAAGGGATTTGACTCAGTATCTGCGAATCTAGATCTAGGAAACTCTGACTGGGAAATTTTTGTTGAAAATTTGGTAAAAGAATTTGGTTTAGGAACTGAATCTAGGGAAGAAAATGAGGGGTATGAAGATGGGCTACTAATGTATAGGCTGGCAAATGGAGCTGGTCTTGGAAGGGATGATCTTGGCGACGAGGAGACATCGAGGAAATTAGTTTCCGCAGCAGGTGCTGGCTTAATCGTGATCAAGGTATGGCATCCAATAGTGACTTTGGTCTCTGGGTCACTGATTCTGAAGCTGACTTGATGAGCTCCAGCTGGCAAATGACCTTGAAGCTGATTCGCCCAAGTTGGATGAACTAGCAGGCGACCTTTAACATTACTTTGTGGTCTCTGCAGAGTTACATGAGCCTTCTCTTCACCACGATGCAGGAAAATAACCACATTCTCCGGACATTTGATGTAGGGCTTGACCTCCTGAACTTGCTGCGTTTGAAGGGTTGTCTCCCTTTGCGGAGATTTCCACTGTGTCGGGAATAACGGGTTTCCAAAGATGCCATTATTAAATGGCTTGCATTTGAAATCAGGGCCAAAGGACCAGCTGTTAAATACCGTACAGGTGGTAAAAAGGGATCCACTAGACACGAACCCAGGATTGCACTGAATGTGGCAAATGTCGCCGAATCCGGATGGTCCCTTAGTACAGCTAGGTGGATATAAAACTCCATTAGCAACAGGTTTCAGAGCTGAACAGAGTCCACCACTTTGTACTCGAGGCTGACTGAAAGCTGTGAAGATATATAAAGCAGATTAAACACCGATAAATATCTGATTTCAAGCACAACTCACCCACGCACTTGGTCTCAGGACCCTCCCAAATTCCACTAGCTCCACAGATCTTGGTATCCGGACCCTGTAGGACATATCCGTGGTTGCAGGTTATCCGGCAGCGAATGTTGTAGAACTGCTTTTGCACATGACGATATTTTCCACAACTGGCCCGGCCATTGCTTGGTGGCTGGAATCGAGGGCAAAGATCCCTGGGCCGGAACGGATTGACCCTAGGGCTCTTGGGCGTAACAGTTGTTGTCGTTGTAGGGAAATCATCAAAGGAGGGAAGCTTTGAGATCTCTGGCCTTGGCCATTCAGGCAGGGATGGGAATTTCGACACTGAAAAATCTGGCTTAACAGGCGATCTAGCTGTTGTTGTAGGTAAATCATCGAAGGAGGGAAGCTTTGGAAGCTCTGGCTTTGGCCACTCAGGTAGGGATGGGAATTTCGTCGTTGAAAAATCGGTCTTAATAGGATACTCTGGCTTTTTGGGTATATTCTTAGAGAGCTCGTTAAAGTCAGGATACGTGGGTTTTTTAGGAGGAGCAGGCAGTGAAGAAATTGATGGTATCTCTGGATAAGTGGGGAACTTAGGAAACTCGCAACGGAAACCTCCCAGCTCATTGATACATTTTCCAGTGGCGCAACTTGTCTTGTTCTGAGCGCACTCGTCGATATCCTGGCAAGTCTTTTGATCACTCTCCAGCTTATAGCCCGGTGGACAACTGCATTCGTAGGAACCTTCAGTATTCAAACAGCGATTCGAACATCCTCCGTTGTTCTTAAGGCACTCGTCGATGTCCACACATTTGTCGTCCGACCCCAGAATGAAACCTGGTGAACATTCAATGGGAGAACAGCCCTCGGCAGATCGCTGGGTTCCCGGTGGGCAACCAACGATAGCGGGACGACAGCTGCGTTCGTCTTCATTGAGGATATAACCCAAGGGGCAGCCGCATTCAAAGGTTCCTGCCTTATTAATGCACTCGTGGGTGCATCCACCGGAAAGAAGGCCCGCACACTCATCCACATCCTGGCAGGTCTTCTTGTCCTCGCCCAGTTCGTAACCCCTTTCGCAGGCACAGGCATGTGTACCTAGAAGATTGATGCAGATGTCGCTACAGTTTCCATAGTCCTGTGAGCACTCATCGATGTCGGAGCAGCCGAACCCATCAGTGGATAGCTCATAGCCCGTTTCGCAAGCGCAGGCAAATCCCCCAGGTTGATTTAAGCAGAGCTGTGAGCATTGGCCATTATTATCGAGGCACTCATCAATGTCCTGGCAGGTGCGCAAATCCTCTGCTAAAGCATAACCCATAGGACAGGAGCACTGAAAGCCACCTGGCTCGTTTTGGCAAAAATGGGAGCAGTTCCCATTGGCCAAAGAGCACTCATCGATGTCCAAGCATGAAGGTGAAGATGGAGGTTCAAATGAATTTGTATCATGGGATAATGAGATGTTTAATAATGGGGCGATGTGGTTATCCAAACCCAGAGCATAGCCAGGTGGACAGAGGCAGGTGTATGAACCACTGAGGTTCTCGCAAAGCGTTTGATCAGTGCACCCATGAGTTCCCCGCGAGCACTCGTTGATGTCGAAGCAATAGCCACGTATGCCATCCAGTTTGAGAAGCTCGTAGCCCGCAGCACAAATACAACCATACGAACCTGGAAGATTTCGGCACACCTGCTGGCAGCCCCCGTTCTTCACCAGACACTCGTCCACATCTTCGCAGCTCTTGCCATCGGCACTTAGGCGGTATCCGTCGCGACAGGAGCAAGCACCTCCTCTGGCAGTCAGGCAGATCTGTTCGCACCCATTGTTATTCACCTCGCAGAGATTCTCTGCCAAACACGTGTAGTCCTCAACCAACCTGAGTCCTATGGGACACAGGCATTGATAGCCACCCGGCGTATTCTGGCAGGTGTGACTACACAAGTGCATATCCTCCTTACACTCGTCAATGTCCTGGCAACTGAAGCCCTCACTCCGGTATCCATCTGGACAAACGCAACTGAAGCTAGTGTTGTCCTCACTCACCAAACAGGTTCCCGGCGAGCACTTCTCAATTCCCTTGTCCTTGGAGCAAGGCGATTCTTGAACTAAACAGGAATGCCGATCTTCGGCAAGTTCGTAACCTTTGGGACACTTGCATTGGTAACTTCCTTCTGGCAGATCCTCACACTGGTGGGCACATCGAGTGCGATTCAACTGTGGATTCTCCAGATCTAGACACTTATCCAAGGCACAGCTTTTTTGATCCTCCAGAAGATGATATCCTTCAAGGCAGTAACAACGGAAGGATCCAATGGTATTCTCGCACTTTTGCTGACATATTCCATTAGATTTCAGGTCTTCGGGACCCTTTACCTCACACTCATTAATGTCCAGACATTCAGTACCATTGGCAGAAAGTTCAAAACCAGGATTGCATGTTATTTTTGGTGGAGGTCTCTCATCGATGGAACTCTCTACCACTTCAGTGGAATCGGATTTTTCCACCAATGGAACCACACAGCGATAGGAACCAGGCAGATTCTCGCAACCATTTTCGCAATCCGACGAAAGTTCAGGATTGGCACATTCATTAATGTCTGCAATATTTTATATATATTATTAGAAATCCTTACTCTTTATATATTTGATATTTTTTAGTACATACCCACACAAGTTTTACCAGAAGCATCCACGTAATAGCCAGCTTGACAGCTGCATTTATATTTACCAGGTAGATTTTCGCAAATTTCCTGGCAACCGCCATTTGACTCCTGGCACTCGTCGATATCTGTAAAAAGTTAATATTGCTTAACAAATATTTAGAAATTTTTTTAAAATTTTAAACCTACCAAGACAGCTGGCATAATCGTTGAGATTTAGGGTGTAACCCTGTCGACAGTCGCATTTCTTTAAAGGTTGGTTCTCATCCGGATACAGCAATCGCTTGCATATCTGCTCACAGCCGCCATTATCCTCACCACAATCGTTGTCCAATAAGGTTGGCTCATAGGGATCTTTTGCGGACTTCACAGATGTATTTTTGGAGTTTGATACTTCAATTTCAACTTCTGGTTCCAGAGGAATTTCGTTTTCGATTATCTCCTTATCACTTTCAATTCCACTTTTTTCGACAGTTTCGACATCAGATTTGGGAGCAGTTTCCTCCTGGAAAGTTTGTCCACTCGATTCCTTAGGAAGTTCTGCTTGAGCCACTTGACTCGCTTCATCCTCATTAATATGAATAACGATTTCTGGTTCCAATTTGGGTGCGACCTCCTCCTTTACCGGTGGCGGTGGTGGCGGTGGGGGTTCCCTGTCAAGGTTCTCAACATTCTCCTCGTCATCATTCTCGTCATTCTCAGCATCATCAGTGGCTACCGTCTCGTACTCTTCGAAATCATCTTCATCATAATTGGTCTCATCAGTAGGTTCGGGTTCCAAATAATCCGACTTAGGAATACAGGTTGGTATTTCACCCACCCACTTATTATTCGAGCAAAACATTTCGGCGTTTTCGCTTTCGAACTCGTAGTCCAAATCGCAATTGAAGAAGGCCACAAGGAAAACCTTTTTGCCTCTTCGGCGACGTTCGTAGCGTTCTACCTTGCCATGATTAATCTCCGGTGGAGTGATCTTTGCAACCGAACAACTCATGTCCAAAGTAGGCGCCAAGTACACAGGTACTTTGGGCTCCTCAGGAATATCCATAATATTTTTCTTTCTCCGCTCAGAGTTCGGCGAAGCTAAGAGGGAAATACATAGATCATAAAATCTAATTTAATTTAAAAATATAAAAAACACATTGATGATCTTTTGGATACACTGTCAAAAAACACTTATACCTTATGAATACACATAATAGGCTTTCCTTGTTATATCTCAAAAAATCTCAACGTAATCCGTCAGCACAAATGCATTTTATGTGCCTCTTAATACCGCTAACAGCTGTTCCCACTCACACAAATACATATGTATAATAAATAAAAAACCGTCAACAACAATCCTAGACACACTTAAGGGGAAATCCATAAAAACTAGGTGAATCAGTCCGTTGAATCATTGCCAACAGATTTTTCATTGCCATATAGCTTTTCCCGCTATTTTCTACAATTTAATTTTCCATTTTGAGATTTTCTTTGCTTTGATTTACGATCGGTTTGTATATGTTTAATTTTTAAAAGCCGGCCGGTAGTTTGGTGAGTAATATTTTGTGGTAGCCATGACCAATGTTTTTTTTTTCAGGAAAACGTGTCATAAAACTTTTCATATGTATGTTTGTTCCCCATTAGCTATTAAAACAAATGGTTTTTAAGGCAATTTTGTGGACATTTTTATAGTCATATTGCATATATGAATAAAGAAGGGGGAAACTGTAAAGTTAATTTTTTTTGACAAATTTTGATAGAAATGAATCATGTTTACCAAAAAGTAAGTTACTGTTACTGTATTATAGGAAAAGGTTGGCATCTCTATTCAACTTGAGCTATCAGATGGGGTGTGCCCAGATCAGTGATCAGAATTAATACCATTGCGAGGAAATGAGTAGTTTTTTGCGAGGAGTTTAAGGAGGAACAAGGAAGAGAGAAGGCGTAAGAAAACAACGTTGCGAACGAGTACCGCGCGGATAAGTATTACAGGAATATTATTAAATTTGATGATGGTTATATTTATTAATTAATCAGATCGCACGCAAAACATTCTTTAAAGTTTTGTAATCATCAACCGATTAATATCTTTCTAATTGTAGAACAATATAAGCTTAAGAGACACAATCCATCCCTTAATAATCTTTTGTAATCCCGAAAATTCCTTGTAAACTATACAATAAATTGCCATAAAATATTTTAGCTTTCCGCCCACACTTACCTGAGGCAAATGCAACGCATGTTAGGGCGCATAAAACATATTTGGCCGCCCACATTCTGGAGGCCTATTTTTACGATCCTTATAGAACAGCTTCCTCACACCTTTCCACTCACACTTCTGATGACTTCTTGGGTTCAGATTTTATAAAAAAGAGACATTAATAAAATTTCACGTCATTCGTTGCTTTTTTTATTCGTTCTCCAACATATTTATGGGACACGGGCTATATATGTAAAGATATATAGAGGAGCAAAGCCATTTAGATTAAGGCGGCTTTATAAATAGCACATGTTCCACACTTTTTACATATATTCACACGTTTTTCATGAAAGTAAAAGGACAGTTTTACACCAAACCAAAGCACTTTTGGCAATTACAGTTCACAGAATATTCAATTACACTAATTGCTCTTAAAAACGTGCAATAACAATCTGTATACATATATATATCCGTATTTTTAAGGTGAAGAAAATATAGATTTTACTTATTTAAAAAAACGCACCGTTTCCGCTGAGAGCCCAGGCTAGACTGAGGAGCCAAGAAAATTCTGACTTTTCTCGAAGGGAACACACAGATTTTCCGCGTCTCCAATAGATATATATAAGTTTATGGGTATATATATATGCTGATATTTCATTGATATCATAAAGCAAATTAGTTCGAGAGCAAGCAGATGTCACCAGAAGGGGGCCATGAAGAGGGAAGCTATTTTTACCGATGGTATTATCATTAGCTTTGGGCTGTGAGAATTAATGAGGTTCCGTCATCCATTGAACTTGATCGGAAAGATCCTTCAGCAGCTGTCAAATTCGGAAGTCTTTAAAAATATTAGCATTAGCGGGCACTAAATAACATAGATTAAAAGTCTACCTAGATGGTAAATGGTTTTTAATTAAGCATAATTAAGTTATTTTCAAAAGTAGCTATTTTTTTTGTATATATATATATTTGATTTACCACACTATATGTTAAACATTCTTAATTTCCGCCCACTTTTACCTGTGACATGATTTGTAATTTTTCTACTCATAAAATAGTTTTCGCCTCCCACACTTAATAGCAATCAGGTTGGTCCTTATCGTTCCCCTTTCATTTTGACTTGGCTAAATTTTTATTCATTTCATATTTTTTAATATTCTTTTCAACATATTTATGGGACAGAAACTATGTTCAGATACAAAGAGGGCAAAACCATAAAGATTAAGGTGGCTTTATAAATAACATAAGCTGAGCACTTTTTGGATTTTAGTATATGCTAATTTTGGCTGAATTAAAAAATTAGTGATTACAAGAAGTATACACAGCAAGGAAGGAAAACTTAACCAAAATGGATTAGAGGGTTCTTAGCTGAAAGTATTCAAAATCAATTTGTTATTTGAGGATCACCAGCCTAGTAATTGCCCATCTCAAATCAAAGTACTTGCTGAGTACCAAGAGGCGAAACTTTCGTATGGGGGAGGCCATTACATCACGAGATTTTTGAAATGGGTCCCAAGCATTTTTGGCCTATTGTTGAGCACATAATTAAGCACCGCTTAGCTTATGTAATTAATGTCAGGCCAAATGGCAGTGCCAAGAGCCCCGAGTGGGGAGTCTAATGAACCAGCTGCGTGTGCTGATTTATATGCGACTTTTCGAGCTGGTTTGTTTGTACTTGTACGAGTATGCCTGTCTCTCTGAGTTTTGCCTGTCTATTTGTTTGTTTGGCCTGGCCAAATTGTGTTTTGTCACCGTCACCATCTTGGACGACGTCTCTCGATCGCGCACTTAGGCATCGTTTATGCGCAGGCTCTCGGTACTCGATACTCCAGTTTTCGGGGTCTGGGGCTCTTGGACCATGTGAATGTGACATAAGTCGCCGGGTGTACGGTCATGATATATGAATATGACAAAGCGACATGGACAACTTTATTGGCTCATGAAAAGCGCTGTCACTGCTTGACTGACATAAATCACTGAACGGCTGAAATAGGCATTCAGAGCCACAAGAGCCAATCGATTGCAAAAAAAGGTAACCAAAAAGTCAGTCAAAATAAATCAAAAACCGAAGGGCCTGCTAACGATCATCACTTTACAGTGTGGGTCTTAGCAAAATCCTAGCCCAATCAGCATTTGCATATGACAGAATATGCCGAATCGATATCGTAGTCTTTATCTGATTGAGACTGTCAACCCAACCGGACATTTCGATTCATTCATGGGCACGGGGAAAAAACTCATATGGAAATTAGAGCAACAATTGAACATCGTGCAGCGTTCTAAAAATAATAACCGAGTGGAGCTTTTATTGACCAAAAGACAAAAACACAAACAAGCCCACGTCATGGATGTGAGGTATCGAATGCACGCCACCTATTGGACAAACGAAGCGTATCTGGACACGCTACCACACACGCACACACACATAAACACACTTAGAATTACATATGTATATGGAGCCTTGTTTTTCACTTTCGCTTATTTCGTTTTCATTTTTTTTTGTGACTGGTACTCATGGGTTACAAGGGTATATCTGCCCCAAACTACCGATCAAGATCTTTTTATAGAGTATGGAGGTCCAAGATTACCTAACCTATCATATCGATGAGGATGCCCTATCTTAATAGATTAAGCCCTTAAGATAAGGATAGTTATAGTACTTACATACAGATAACTTGTAATAATTTTATACAATAACATTAGAATAAACTATTATTCCAGTTAAATAATTATACAAATTCGGAACAGTAACAGGTACTTCCTGTTCGTAATCCTTTTCCGTAACAGCCCCACCTCATTTTAGTGCAGACCTAGAACCCTTTTAGCGCTGGCCTATAACTACTTTAACTATGACTATGGTAAGTGTGCGCCCAACGCGCATGACCTCAACAATTTGACTTCACTTGAAGTGCAAACGCACATGCAAACTGTGGAGCTCCTCGAAGTGCTCCAATGGGTCTTGTCCACCAGCGGAGAACGTGGTCCGGTCCTGTTGCGTGCCCACCAAAATGGTAATGGCAGGGATATGAATGGGGATTGTCGGAGGTGGCTGTTGAGTTGGTCGGAACAACAACTGACCCTTCACTTTAGCAGCGAATGTTTTGGGTCAGTGTTCAGTTGCGTTGAGTTCGTGACCAAAGGCGGGCGTATTTCTTATTCCAAATTCATATTCATATTCGTTATTAATAAATCCTCAACGTCTGGCCTGGTCATAGCAAATCACATCGATTCCCGGTCCGATCGGCATGATTCGGCGATTGTCTGGCGAGTATTGAGAAGAAGTCATGGGCTGTGCCAGCAGCACTCCCATGGTTGCAACGGCGGGCAGCGAAATGCTGAAAGCCGCCAGCCATGTCAAACAGAAGGGCGAGGCCGTAGTGGAAGGTGTGTGTGTGTGTTTGTGTGTGTTACCAATCCGTGCTGGCCATTAGTTGGTTTTTGACCAGCAGATGACATTTAAGAGTGGGCAGCAAAAGGGAAATTCCAAACTGCCAACAGCCAGCGTATACTTGATATTCGAGGCGGATACTTGATATTCAGCAAAGTTCAGTCCTTGGTCTAAATATATTTAATAGAAGCTAAAGGATTTTTATAATGAATAATGTGTAGAAAAAAAGAAGACATTTTATCAGTGACATTCCCAAAAGTTACCTTAAAACTTGTAACCAATTTTTGAACCTTATTAAGATGAAGTCCTTGACCCCTGGCCCAAATCAATATCAACTCCAGTTAATTACGGACCACCAACAAGCCAGTAAATTCCCACTTAATGCCAAAAAGAAATTCGATACATCCAGGTCCAATGTACGTAATAAATGTGCTCGCATTTCGCATTATTATAATAACAAGCCACCTAATAAAGGACAATTGGCCAGCGCAATGCGTGCCGCGGAGCCTTTCGGCCTGATTTTTCGCCCGTTTTCATTTGCCATAGTGTGTGGCAAGTGAAAGCTGATTCCATTGCCATCACCCGACCATATTTTTATACATTTATTTAACGCATATGAAGAAAAACGACTTGGTTGCGTGACCGAGCCGTCAACGAATTAGAGCAAAACATTGACTTAAAAATAATATACGTACAGGTGCACTGAGGGAAAGTACTAATATTTACTTAGAACTAGACTATAGTTTGCGATCAAATATGTGTAAGGCAAATAAGTGAAATAAAATCTTAGTTTAAAAAAAGTGCAATCGTTGAGTTCGAAATTTAATTCCTTAAAAAGTTGCATTAAAATCTGAAAATTTGTTTTTTCAAATTTGTTCCCAAAAATTAATGGCAAATAAAAGTGCATTCATTTGCATTCTCTCGCTCTTTGCAGACGCCTCCGAAACGCTGACCAGTACTTTGGACACGGCCAAGGAGACCGTTGGCACGGCAGTGGCTGGTATTACCAATGAGCTGGGCAACGCCTTCAAGGAAGGTACTCAGGCTCTGGATGACGCTAAGCACAAGGTGATGGAGGGTCTGCATCTGGAAGGGAACCAGGAAGCTGATACCAAAGTAGACCCTGAAGAGGCAACAATGAGTACTTCTCGTGCTCCAACGCCCCAGCTTCGCGAAGATGCGGATAGCCTAAAGACCTCGACCCCAGAACCGGAGATCGAAAGAGCCCTGGCCAACGAGGAGGAGAGTCCACCCACTCCGAAACCCTCGCTGGAGGAGATGGTCGAGCTGAGTGCCGAGGTCTCACAGGTGGCAGATGCACCTTCTGCTCCTCCAGCCGCCGAGTCATCTGCGCCAGCAACTGAGGCCCCCACAACCGTATCCACCGCCGCCGTGGAGTAAGTAAGCTTAAAGAGCACCTGATGCATCGCTATTACGTAATCGCTAACCCGTAACCCCCGTAGCCCCATCGCAAATCCGTAACCTGTAGCGCCACTGCACCCAGAAGTTTTCGCGTAGTTTGTACCTGCAACGTTCGCTTATGATTCGTAGATTTCGTCGTAGTAGCCCGATAATTACATTTATTATGGCCTCCTAATCAACATATTACTTTCTCCTCTCTCTCTCTCTCTTCTTCTTGACTTGTATGTAAATTGTAAATAAACTTACTCTACTTCTATGTACATATCATATACTCTGCCTTTGTTTACCCGCGAACCCAGCAAATCAAACTAACAAGAACATCTACAGCCAAGTCCTGTACGTAGTATTGTGGTAATATTTAGAGTATCTTACACGGTTATTTACGTTTGATTCGGTTAGCCGGATATTTGTGTTTTTGCAAAGTTAAGAGAATGCTGGATAAGGCAATGAAAACGTAAGATAACTATAAAGTTTGTCTAGAAATTTTAGTATTTTAAAGCTTGTAAAAACTTGTTTCCACAAATGTTGGCCAGTTACATTGTCCAAGGATAGCAATTTGATATAGATCTACATTAATAAAATTGAAATAATATGATAAATAATATTCCTAAACTTGCCATATACATAAACTTTTGCAAAACCCATCCATACACATAAATTCACATATTTACTAAACAAATTAGACACCCCACAAGAAAAGAAAAAACCGTATTACATCCTACTAAAACACCAACATTTTTCCACACCCAAATTCTTACACTATCAATAACAAAACCCCCAGAAATCGTAAAGTGCGTCGCCGGTCGCAGGCAAAGGCTAAAAAGGATCAAGAGCAGCGTAGACCCAGTACCACTGAGTGGGAGAAGTTCGCAGATCAATTGGCCAAAAGCAAGAAGTTCAAACCTTACGAGAGCTTTGCTCACGGCCAGAACAAGTTCTCCGTTTACCAGGACCACACGAGTCTGCGCGACAAGCCGAATCACTATGATGGTCACTTCAGTGGTGGCAACTCGCTGAGTGCCTCCCAATCGGATCTGTCCAGTGGTCACATAACTCCCGCACCCACTCGTCGAGGCCAGCGGGAGTTTGCCAAGTTCGTGGGTTCCGAACAACCGGGAAGTATTTCGCGGTCCAGTTCCAGGCTTTCAAATGCTGCCACTTCCAGGACATTCGATTTTAATCCTCAACGCGAGCGCATCAGTCTTCCAGTGGCCAATCGCATTGGTTCCGGAATCCATAGAGCTCCGGCGGAAAGGATATCCGGTTGGGGCAGGGGCAGGCCAGCTCCTCTGGAGGAGGAACCTGGTTATGGACGCAGGATGAGCACTGGGGTCTTATCACAACCTTTGAGACCTGAGAGGGAGAAATTCCTAGCCAATGGAGTTAGCCGCCGGGCAGTACAACCATTAACTCCAACTAAGGATTCGAGAAGGGAAAAGTCTTCTAGGAAGCAGACTTCTAAGAGCATTTCTTCCAGAGAGTCTTCTTATTTGGAGTTGGATTCCCATAGATTGGCTAAGAGTCCTTTACCAATCCCAAAGCCTTTATCAAAGGATATAGTACGTTCTAGGGAATCATCTTTAAATGAGTTTAATTCACATAAAAGTTCGCCGAGAAGATCAAAGGATATGCTGCCATCCAAGATCATTTCTTCCAGGGAGTCATCCCATCTGGATATGAAATCACAGATATCGGATAAGAGTCCACTAAGGATCAACAAACCTTCGTCAAAGAATACAGTGCATTCTAGAGAATCATCTTTGACTGAGTTTGATTCCATCAAGTCCCATAAGAGTCCCTTGAGAGGATCAAAACCTTTTACAAAAGAAAAGATTCCACCAAAGAACTTAGCTTCCAGAGAACCGTCTTATATAGAGTTAAAGCCCTCGAAGACCGATAAAAGCCCTTTGAGAATACAAAAAACTTTGGCAAAGGAGGTATTGAAATCTAGAGAACCTTCCTATATAGAATTTCAATCCTTGAATCAGAATAGGACTCCAAGGAGAGGGAAATCTATCACAAAGGAAGGGGTTAGATCTAGAGAGCCTTCATATACCGAATTTGATTCTCATAAAAAGGATAAGAGCCCTTATAGAATGCCGCAAGAGGAACTGCCAGAAAAGCTCACCCAATCACGTGATACTCCTTTCAATAGTCTACCTCATAGAGATCTTAGTCCAAGCGAGCTTACCCCAATAAATCATGATGCGACTTCTGCTCCTCCGACACCGGAAAAGAGAGAAACTCAAAAAGCTGCGTATGCCGGCTCAAAGATTCCATCACCACCAATCTCGCGTGCTTCCACGGCCAAATCCTCAGACAGCAGTAACTTAGATGTGATAATCCAACCCATGAGCACTCTAAACACACCTAGTATTAAGTCATTTACCCAGTCACCAGATCAAGTGGTGATGGAGGGTTATGAGGACTCAGATTTGGAGGCTGCTCTGGCCAGGCTGGAGATCTTGAGAGGTTCCACAGCCACGTTGCAGTCGCTAAGATCCTGCAGTCCTGGCAAACACACCTACACAGCTTCCTTACTAAGTTCTAGACGAACTTCACCTTGGGTAATGAGAAAGGATTATGGAGGTACTGTTGGAAAGGATGGTAAGCCATCTAAGTTGGTGGAAAGCTCACTGAAATCCTCTCAAGCTAGCCATCAAACACTCGAACGCTGCGATATTTGCTATAATGAGTTTCTCATAAATTAAGTTCTTAATGTTAAAATACTTTTAAATTTTGTAAATGTTAAGTAAAGAAGCACAAAACTACTGCCATAAATAACTGCAAGATAATCTCAAATTCTATTAAATTTTCTGTACATTTTTCCAGTTTCCTATTTCAACCCAAAGTAACCAAATGCCTCAATAGGTTATTTAGCTACTAAAATAAATAATATGTTTACGAATAGTTTGTAATGTCTTGTACGGTCCCCGGAGAGGCAATAAAGTAATCGAGCCCAACGATAAAATGCTACTAACCCAGAAACAAAGAAGTTTAATGGCATTGCAACGTTTTTAATTGCGAAACTTTTTATGGCTGGCAATTTGCCTCTCGGGAGTTCAAATCAAAACCGAATCAGCCGGCAGTCCAGATTTTGGGTACCTCTAATTGATGACTTAATAACAAAATTGAAATGTTTATCTTGCCGTTCACTCAATTATTCTGCCACTTGAGGTTCGATTTTACGTTTTTACGGTTTCACGTTCCGTGGTGTAGCCGTGATTCCACATGGCTTCCACATCTCTCCCGTCCGTGACTTAATGAACTATTAACAGCAATGATAGTAATTTGTTGCAGCAGCAGCAGCCGCAGCAGCAACAGTGGTGGTTGTTGCAGCAAATGAAATTGCTTTCGGCCAGCAACGAGTTGTCTTCATGGCACTTTTTGGCAAACAAATAGACAATTCAACAAAGCGACATGCAGACAAATGACTACAGTGGATACTACTAGCAGCAGACATATATCTGTTTGGATTTTCGCGGGGGTGTTACCTGTGCTCAGTTCCCCCCCCTGCTCCACCTGCACCTGCTGCCTGGTGCCAGCAAATTGAGTTTGGCTATGGCATCTATTTTGGCACGATTTTCAAATTACGTACATTGACTCGCAAAATGTTTGCTTTATGCCGCAATTAATTCCCAGGCGGAAGAAACAGTGCCCCACAGGGGTGAGCGGGTCCAAAAGTTTAAGGTCTTCGTCGGTTTTTGTGGCGTGACATTGAAAGTGAAAGAACAAGTTTTGATGGGTTTCCTTTTGTTTTCTATTTTTAATGACTTCAAAGCACTAACCACTTGGTTCATTGAACGCAGCCAAGTGCCACGCACAAAAAAAAAAAAGAAAAACAAAAATCAAAAACGAAAAGTAACCGCCGCTAATGATCTATGAAGTGCAAGTGTTTGTACTTTTACTTTCATTTATCAAAAGTGGAGGCGTCATCTCTATGGCCGAGACAGTGCAAATTAGCAGTGGGCCAAAAATGCATTTCTTAACACTTATTTTCTGGTTATATCTTCCACATATGTTACCCCATGTTAGTTAGTGGTAAAACGTGCTTTTAATCAAATTCACATGTGCCATTCATACGCACTGTAGGCTGGAAAAAAACAACAAAAACTATAAAAAACAGCAAAATTTTCTGTGTAAAATTGATTTATGCAATTGTTGTTTGGGGCAAGCAACAACAGCGGCAACAGCAGCTGATTTGTTTATATGCTCAGTCGGCAGCAACAAGCATGGCAAATCAATAAGTTTATGCAACAGGCGGCGATAAAATCTAAGAAATCACCGAAGACAATGCCTTAACAGAGCTTCCTGCTACAGTTTTTATTTTGACCAATTCGGTTTAACATTGTTTTTACCAGTTTTAACAGCGCCCTAACAGTGTGCTCTGTGCGCATGCGCATTTCTGTGCTGCTTCGAATATTTTTTTCAATTAATGTCTTTCCTTTTCATTTCCAATTCAGTTAATGCGGCAACGCACTTGCTGCTGGCTGCAAATAGCAATCATTTGTTAGGCAAACATTTCTACTTTTCGGCTGCTTTCGTTTGGCCTTTTGCCAACATTTTGCATAACCTGGGTCAAGACGGAAATGCAGGAGGAGGCCAGCCATTAATAATCTTTGGCTCTCGGCTTTTTGCGAGGCTTCGGCAGCCCGCTGCCTGGTGACTTCTTCTTCAATGCGTTTCAATGCGCCAGAGAGCCTTTTGTTTCTGCCGGTCGGTCAGATGGCCCAAAACGTGCCCGGGCCACAAGCCAAAGTCAGCTGGAAAAGAGCCCTGTACCGCTCACTAATAAAAACTGAACATCGCTGCTAGCCATTTTTTCATAAATCTTTTCATGCATCTTAATTCTTTTAATTTTAATTTAATAATCTTTTAACTAATCCCTTAAAAACTATAGAAGATTGTTTATTTCTTTAATTTTAAATTACTTTACAAAAACAACAATTATTTTGTTAAGAAAATGGTTATTAAAAAATTAAGGCGACAATAAGATGGTGATGTTATTATTTCCTTCGCTTTATGCAATCCCCGTCAAGACGGTGACCCAATCTTTTTCACCTCTGCCGACACTTAACCGACCTGCAGTGCCTGCTGCTGCAGCAAGCTGGTGTTCAGTAGCCTCCGCATAATCCAAATTAAATTGTCAAGAGAAATGACAATTCAATACACACAATCTTGTTAAGCAAATATGAAAGAAAATACCAAAACAAAAAGCACTCTGTCATCCGTGCTCTCCAACAAAAGCGGAGACAGCCGGGAAGAGTGAGAGTGAGACGAAAGCCGAGACGGAGGCACCGAAAAAGTGTCAAATTAAACTGTCAGAGCGACTTTTAACCCATTTTTCGTAGGCCATTACATAAGCTACTTATCAGTTGATAACTCGGGGCTCTCGGGGTGTTGGAAATACTAATAGGGAAATAGAAATGGAAATGGAAATGCGAGTGCGTAGGTGGTGGAGCGACTGGTGGAGCAGTCGGGCGCATAAATCAACCTCTGGACACTCAGCCACTCGAGTTCATTCGCTCATGCGTCAGCCAAACAAAAGACTTAGGCAACGAACTCTAGCCGCTGTTGCAACAGAATGCATTCCTTACGAGTGTGTGTGTGTGTGTGTGTTTCTGTCAACAGCTGGTACTCCCGCTGCATATTCTTAGCCATGTGTGGTGTCTAGCCCTACCCAATGCCCCTCCCATCCCACCAAAATCCCTCCTTGGCTGCATTCCCATGTGAACTGCGCTAATTCGTGACTACTTTGTTGGGCGACTGCTGAGGACCCCGGCACACACATCGCCAGATGCACAGAGAAAATTACTTTGACTTTGAATAAATTATTAAAGGAATTAAGTTGGGTCTTTGTTAGTCATTTCTTGGTATTCATTTTCATATTTATTACAATTATTCTAGGGCTCAGCTTTCAAGAACTAAGTTTCCAAAACTTGTGAAAATTCTAAGATATATTTTTCTTTCTCTACCTTATAAACACAAGAAGGAACACTGTATGCCCTATTCACACACACCCGTCACCTCACTCCCAATAAAAAACTTGGGGAAAACATCTGTGATAGATTTGAATGACCCACTCCCAAGGCCCGAGGCCCGAGGCTTGAGGACCGAGCTACTGGCTCTAGGACTGGCGCTTGTGAGTCAGAGATCGGCTTGCTATATGTCCCATTTCGTTGGCAATTCCCTGCCCACGCCGCAGGCGCAAACACTTTACTTTTGTTTTCGAAATGGTCGCAGTTGCAGTACCCAGTTTACTCGTAAGTTGCAGTACCAAAAATGAACTACCCAGCAGCTCTCATTCTCCATTCGATTTTCGGGGTTTTTCTTCTTCAGAGTTCGACAACGTTGTGTGGTTGTCGCTTTCGTAGTCACACAAAGATAGAAATCGCATGACACGATCTTGTAGCCCGAAACAGGCGCCAGTAACCCAGTTTTCAGGTTCCAGACCAACCAGAAAAAAAAGCAAAAGCAAAAAAAAAAAAACACAGCAACAACGACAACTACGATGACTCCCTTTGGCCAAAGCCAAATGAAAATGAAAATGAAACGTTTTGGGCATAAATAAATAATGACAACAGAGCAGCAACCAAAAAGGCAACAACAAATGATCAGACAGTCCTCCCTGCATTTGCATTTGTTGGCATGCCACTGCCAAAAGGGTATAGACCATGTATTGATGGGTTTGGCTTAAAGTCGCCAAGTCGCTAAAAAGCTTATATCATGGGTTATACTTTTTACTATATATCCAAACAAATTTCTATAAAACTATGTTAAAAACTTCTTTCTTTAACGCTTACTACATCTTCTCCCTCAGCTTTAGCTACTTGAAAATGCGAAATAGCATTCGTAAAGACTTTTTCCACTGATATAAATCTTTCAATCTGCTCGCATGAAACTAAATCAGATCCACTTTTGGACTTTCTTTCAGCCTGTGAGGGTAAATTGGCTTCTGTTCACTAAGCAAACGGTTTTTTTTGTTTGTTTGTTTTTTTGTTATTGTTTGTTTGTCTGCCTGTTATTTGTTTTGGTTTTTGTAGCTGCGGCATTTTGGTTTGTTTGTTTCAAGTTGTTTGGGCTCAGCCTAACAAGCAGCCAACATCGACGTCTGCCCATTGTCTTTGTGCTTCAACGTTTTCATGTGGCATTTTTCTAGATTCGCCAACCCAGCCCACCACCCCCTTGAAACAACATGCACTGACCTTTGACATCGTCCCCGTGGATAAAACCAGACGCTCTCGATCTCATTGGACTCAGAGAAAATAGGTATCAGTTTTTACTAAGGTTCCTTAAACGTAATGGCTATCCCTTACTTGCTTAATTTTTGACTTTGGTAAAAATCTTGCAGCTTTAATATTCATGCCAGCAGATTACATATTGTAATCCAACTTTTAGTGGTTTAATCATAAAAACTATCTTTAAACTTGCTCAATCTTGATTGACGTGTAAAGTCTGAACAGAGGAAAACGTGGCTATGATGAAAAGAGTACATTGAACTCCAACATCAAGGCAGACCCATAAATTGATCGACGCCGATGCATAAACGTCGAGTTTTCGCTCAACTTCAATTCTAAACAGTCGACAGCAATTTCACTTTCATTGGCAGTCCGTCACCCACGACAACGGCGATCTGCGCGTCTGGGAAAGCGATTCACCCTACGCATCGATGGCAACTATGTTAGCTGGATGGGATCCGCGGATCCCCAGACTTTTCACAACGGTAGCTGGAAAGACGGGGCGACAGACCAACGAGCATGCCAAAAATTGCATTTTCTACAACAAATCAAGGTGACTGGACATCAAGATAAAAACATAACAAACGATTTGACTAAGCCAAATGGTAATAGGCCCCGGTAACACACAACATCGCCAACATCATCAGCAGGAGCACACCGATCGTGGCCACGAGCTCGGGAGTTGGTGCTGAAGCTAAAGCTGGAGCTGGATGTTAGCCACTGGAGCGATCATCAAGCCGTTATTGTTATTGCCACGGCCAAAAGCCTGGCATCGGTGCTGGCTGGAGCTGAAGCTGGAGCTCCTGGCTCCAAATTTGGTGCGAAACTGCGTTGTCGCGGGCGCTTTTTTCCCCTTCGTGGATCAGGCACAGTGGGACAACGTTACAAGGATGTTTCTGGATGGTATTTTCTTGTAATGAAAACCTTGAAGATTTTTCATTAGAAAATATTTTAAAAAATCAACAAGGCTTCTTTAATGATTTAACATTTTAAATTATTAATAATCTAATCCTAAACTTACCAGCTGACCTTCAAATAAAACCATTTCGCACCACTGTGCTGTCGTTGTCGTGCCTGTCGTCGTCGTCATATTGAAATTGAAAATAAGAATCGTATTTGGTAATTGCAATGAAAGCGAAAGGAGTGAAAACTTTTCTGCCGTTGTAGGTATGTTATTTTGGCCACTAAGATAGATCACCAAGGATAGCGGCCGAGCAGCGGTCACTTTCTATCTATCGAGCAGTTCAATGACACGGCCCCCAACGCCCCCGCCTTCTGTCGACTGTTTTGGCTGTTCAGACTGTATGTTCACCATGGGTTAAAAGGTGGATATATATATTTGTGAAGTGGACTCGAGCTGATGGCAACACTTATCGATGGCTAAGCCGAGTGCCTAAGCCGCTAAACGGCAATAACCACATCAAAATGCCAATGAAAACCTTTTGACATTTTTATCACGCACAACGCTGGCTCGAAGATCGTTGCCTGGAAGCCCCAAGCAAATGCTAATTGACCTTGACATGCGGAAGATTTGAATGCGACGATACGACCGACCTCTCTCTTACTCCTCATCTCAGTGCATCAGATGCACTTCAAGACCAACTCGAGTGGCTGCTGCACTTGGCTTACAAGTCTGGGTTTTGGGTCTGGGTCTCGGTCTGGGACTTAACATCGGCAAGAAGTAAGAGGTATGAGGTATGGGGTATGGGGTCCGAGAGGTACGAGGTCTCAGTTAAGTGGTAAATGGTAAGTGTTGCGGTTGCAACATCATCACCGCCGACATCAAAATGTGAATGCATATGCAGCGTGTTAATTGCAATCGCCACTGCAGTGTGACCAAGGTGCCTGCAGTTCAACAAGTTAAGTGTAATTTATAAATAAATTACTCAAATTATGGATGAAATTACGCTTCCAGCTATTAGCTAATCAAATGTCTGATAGGTTTAGGGTTTTTCTTTTAATCTATCTAATATACATTCTACCTTGTAAATTAATTACATGTTTTTAATTTCAATCTGTAAGACAAATTCAAGCATGACTTAATTTGTTGCACTTTTGTAAAATAGGCAGATCGAAAAAACCAATTAACGTTAAACACATAAAAGTTATGGCTTAAAAAGCTAATATTCATAAACAGCCTGGTATCTTTTTAGAGCCTTAACATTGCTCATCAATAATAATTGTATTTTAAATATTTGTTTTATGGAAACAAACATTAATTATCTTCATCTTTTAGTAACAAAAAGATATTGTAAATAATATTTATTTTCTTTTAATTTCCTCGGACGCCTCTTCAAGACATCTCAACTATCCACTTGAATAAAATTTAATGAATTGATGTCCAGTGGGCCGCACCTGATTAAATGTCTGATGAATAAACAACGAAAGTGCAACAAGTTGGGGCCATAAAAATGACACCAGTTGAGGTGGGAAAAAGGGGAGTGTGCCGCAAGGGGCGGGGGCAAGGCCAGGTGACACTTCACCTTGGGTTGTTCAAGTTGTTGCTGTTGTTGTTTCTGCTGTTGAAGCCAACGGTTATTATTTTACACGCTTTCAGCTACAACTTTATTTTGCGCGCGGCGTCTTAATGCCTTTTGCTATAAAATGAAATTTTACGCACTAAGCTCGGCATTTAACACAAAAACCGGCAGAAATTGTCTTGGTTGTGGAGAGGGGGGAGAAATAATAATAAAAGTGAAACAGAAACTGCAAGCCAAGGTTGCCCCACAAACTGCCACCGATTTTCACTCTTCACCGCCGAAATGCGACATGTTTGTTGGCACTAAAATTGATAACTCTATTGCCCATTTTCTGCTGATTTTGCTGCTGGCTGCCGCTCGTCAATTGCTCACCTGATGATTGATTTTGCTGATTGCCAACGAGTTTTGCATCTCGCATTTGCATTTTGCCGTTTGCCGTTTGCAGTTTGCATTTCGCATCTCTGCATATTTACCGCGGCCAATTATAATTAATTTCCCTGGCCTGTCGCTCTCTCTCTACCATGCGAACACATCGCAGAATCCGATGCATTTTGTTAACATCAACTTCAGCGCCAGAGAAACACCGAAAACGAAAGTCCGCCGAGTGACTGACTGACCGACTGTCACCGTTTCAGGTGTCCATTTATTACCTGTCATAATCAATCGGGATAGGGAGACGTCAATCTGCTGAAAGTTGATAATAGGTGGCCGTAAACGCGTCGAAAGGCGGTTAAGTCGCTCTGGAAAGATGTCTCAATAACTCAAAGTTTGGCAAAACAAGATCGTTTATAATAATATTTTTATTCAAAAAGAAAAGGCTTACTTCATCAGAAGAGATTACTTTATCTCAAGGATTCCCTCAAGAGAACTTTCAATTTCTTTTGGAAAGAGAGAGTACGGCTCAACATGGAAATGGAAATGGAAATGGCGAAGACCTTGTCCGTCAGTCAGATGCGGTGAATGTGAGAGTACTGACCTGGCTATGCCTTCAGTTGCTGCCTCACTGACTGACTTGTAAGTGATCACTGATCAGTGATCTGAAGGAGGAGGAGGGGGTTTTCCAAAGGGGATTTCCAAGCCTTAAACGGATTGCAAATGCGACTGTGAATGGCGAGGGGCTTCGTGCCTAAAACATTTTGCATAATTTGTTTTGCTTACTTTTTTATTATATTTGTATTCCAAGGCTTGTAATTTGATTGCGTTGTTGATTTTATTATGAAAGTTGCAATGGGCAACAACAATAACAAAAGCCAGATTAGCATTGCCCACTTTTCTCTGGGAACACAGGAAAAAATGATGATTTTATGTTTAAATTGTCTTATCTGAATGTTAGTTACAATATTGCTTAAATATCTGAATGTCATCTATCTTAAAAAGTTAAAATTAATATTATAAAGGAAAACATAGTTTTAATCAGTCAATATAAAGATATAAATCGACTTTTCGCTGTGCAGACTGACTCACAGGCGCCTACAATTTTATTTGTATTTTATTTTCTTAGTCGCGGCGTAGCATGTTGCCAGCAATTGAATAAAAACCCTTTTCATGTCAATGCAACATTTGTTGCTCTGCCAGTCGCAGTTCGATATAAACTAGCTAAACTAGCAACAATTGGCGGTATTTTGGCTTTGTACTTGTCTCTTTGGATTTGGCTTTGGCTGCTGCTGCTGCGACTGCTGCTGCTGCAGTTGTTTCCTATTAACGATAAAAATCACATGACACGAACTGGTCGGTCGATCTGGCTTCGTTTTCTGCACTTTTTCCCTGGGCCGTGGCTTTGTTTTGGTTTTTGTCTGGGTCTCCAGCTTCAACTTATTGGATTTGGCGCCGGCGCCACTAACCCAGTTTAAGCCCAGTTTGCGAGCCCAGTTATTGAGCCCAGTTTAAGCCCGAGATTTGGGCTGGCCAATTATGCCACATTATTGTCCAGTTGATTGCCGCTGTTATCGCCCTGGAATGACAGGATGCGGCGGCCAATTGGCAGGGCCATGGCCAATGCCTGAAGATTACGCAACGTCAACGTCAATTAAATCAGTTTTACTCCAAATATTTTAAGCCAATGTCAACCGAAACCGGAGGAAAAGAAATATATTGACATCGCCGGCCCATCGCTCGCATGTGCACTCCATTCCCTCGATCTCGATATTCCAGTGGACACGCCTGATTGAATTTATGGCCGAACTGCCCGGACTGACCAACTCCAGATCAAGACCCTCGGGGGGATTTATTTTTGGGGCTTTGTTTACACAAAACTTTCACAAATTAACCCAACCTGTGAACTGAAAAACTCAAAACTTAATGCCCGAAAACGCATCGAGTCGATTAAAATGCTGCAAACTTAATTGGGACCCAGTTTGTCGCACATTCTGGGTGGCCCAGCAAAAGATACAGTGGTCGCTCTTGAATAAATACCACTGGGTTACTGTTTTTAAGATACTATTTAGTGAGTATGGCTATCTTGTAGAGTATATTAATAACGTTTATGGGGAAATATTTTTAGTTAAAGTTGGTTTCGAGATCGAATCAAGTACTTCTTTAACATATTTAACATATGTACATTTTATGGAGATCAGAAATCAGGAGAGACAGGAACATCCCTTCAGTGTGACCAATGTGATTAGAGGTAAATATACTTACGTATGTACATATGTCAATAAAATTAAATGGTATTTTTGATACTGAATAGGCTTTTTCCAAAAAAAAAGCGTTGAAACTAAAATATCAAATTCGAAGTTCATAGTACTCCCACTTAATTAGTGCCGCTATTCTAAATAGTATACTATATATGTATACCTTAGTACATTTTTGTTTAATGTCAACTCACTGTGCATCCGTATTTATATGTAGTCTTCCTGGGACATCTTCCCAATTCCGCCTGCCCCTGCGGCTTTTGCTCGGTCAAGTGCAAGTGGCAATTTAAAGAATCGGATGAGGTGGAGCCTGTTGGAACGATGAATCGGGTGTCCCAATGTTGGCGCCCCCATATGCGCATAATTTCGATGGAGTGCTGAAGAAAGTTTGCCGGCTCCTCGGCATCGTTTCATGTAGTTGAGCTTGTTGTTGGCCGGTAAGTGAAATGAAAAGTGCATAAATCTGCCGATCTGGCAGCGAAGTGCAGCGTAAAAAGCGGGGCGATAAGAATCGAATCGAAGCTGTTTTTTTTTATATTATTTTTTGTTTTTTTCTTTTTTTGGTTGGTTAAACGCAAGACAAAAGAACTTTCGCTTTCGTTGCGGTCTTTTTTCGGCCAGGTAAAAGTGGCCAGTGACTTGGTGCATTATTTAACCAAATTTGGCCATTGAATGCAACCGGTCGAGAGTAGGTGCCCAAGCAACGCGATATAACAATTATGTGCGTTTAATGAGCAGCGGGAGCAGATCGATCGATCGGTGGGCTTGGAGAAGAAGCAGAAGGAGTTGCCGATCATGCTGCTGACGGATGAGATTGATTGCATAAGTGCATAAGGAAAAACTGTCTGCCGGTTGCAACATTGTCACCCGCTCCCGTGGTGCGTTTACTTTCACTGGGCTCGCGCCCCCCACACCAGAATCGATCGCTCTTAGAAGAGTCAGCGATTTTCGCTTGTTAGCTTTATGAGACGAAGTCTCCGGTCGTTGCTGGTCGATAGTAAAAGTGATAGTCGTTTCCAATTGGAGATTATTATGGCTTAAGTATTTTACGACTTATATAACCACACACACGCACGAGACGTCAAAGCAATTAAGCTACCCAAACACACACGGTCCGCGATACAAATGCAGGCACTTTTCTAATTAATTTCGGAACGAGAAGGCGGCGAAGGGGGCAATTTAAAAAAAATCTCAATAAAATTTCATTTTCATTGACAGCCGCTTTTCAACTGCAGCTCCACCGCGTTGCAATGCCGTTGCCGCCCCTACCTCCCATGATGAAGTGTGGAAACGGCAACAACAACAGCCACCACTCGGTACACTTAATTGACAAGTGTGAAACTTTCGATTTCTATACACCCATTGACATACAAAACGAGCCAACCAAAGTCACACAGGAAGAAAATATAGATCAGTGATCGATTAATCAGTAATTTCTAATCCAAATGTCATGCTAAGTACGTAAGATTTAAACTCTTTTAGTTCAAAGATAAATCCATAAAATCTCATTTACATAAGGGAATAGCAAGCTTAAAGATTTTCTTCCTGTGGAATCTAATGATGCCGCCTGCTATGATTTGTTATGTCTAAATGTCACAATTCTTCCAAGTGATGGCGGATCCCGGGCGGACAGGACAGGGCAGGAGGGCGGTCCGAGGAGGTGTTGGGTGCGCCTGGCCAGATTCGAGTGAAGTGAAGTTTGAAGTTTGGAATTGGTAGAGTGCGGGAATACTTGGAGTACTCCGAACTTGCTATCACTATCGGCAGCTGATGGCTCCGGCGATAATTGGCGATATATATAGTTGCCAGTCGGGTGCGTCTCGCGTGCTGACTTGACAAAAAGGCTGCGCAATGCCATCAAATGATTAACTAACGGCTCGGATCGACATGAAAACGTGCGAAATGGGTGAAATTTTCTTGGCGTGTTCGAGTGCCGGCCGGTGCGATTTTACACTACAAAAATTATGTTTCAATTATGCCAGAAAATGAAAGTTGCTGCAGAGACCACTGTAATGGCTTAATTGCAGCCACCGAATTGCGGGTAATCCAGGAGATCATAACGAGATATCTTTATATCTTTTGCTTTGAATTCAACGGCTAGATGACCTCATGCATCCAGAGTGAGTGTTTCAATATAAAAACTTGATCTCTATATATACTCTTTAAACCAATTCATATTTCAGATATAGCTTTCTGAATAATCAAAAATTCATTAGAGCTCCAAAGATGTTAAGTTCCGCCTATTTAAGATATCGACTGATGTTCTCAAAGGAGCAACCTTCTCAGAACTCAGAACGGGCCCCGTCAATTTGGTATTTCGACATATTTCTTGGCAAGCCATAATTAAAAATCAATTTGGCCAAAAAGTTCCTATTATGCAAGAGCCGCAGCGACAGGCTCGTAATAACCAGGTTCGTTGCCTCAGTCTTTTGTTTGGAGTTTTGTCAAAGGTGCAGGCAGTGAGCAGAGTCAGCAGTTTCCCCCATCTGCCGCCAGACATCAACATGAGCCGCACATATCGAGCATAATATCGCGATGTGGAACGGCATGGTCTATTGGAAACCGGGTTCATGCTATGTCAAGCATGATTTCGCTGTTTGGAGGCCTGCCTCAGAGACCCATTAATGAGCACACAAACTGGCATTTGACAGATTTTTTAATTAAACCATACAAATTGCGATTCTTCACGCTTTTCGTCACACGAAACTGGCGGATATTATTGCTGGCCCACATTCCCATAGGCATTGGAGCTCCTCCTCTAACTCTTTACCTGCAAAAAAAAGTCAAGCATTCCATTTGGCGATAAGCGAGTAATCTCGGCAAGAAACGAGTGAAATGCCAGCGTTATCGGCTATCTGGCAGCTGGCAGCTCCCGCGTAAATGCAATTTAAGGAGCGGGGCAAAAAGAAATTTGCATAGGCGCCGAGCTAATGAATTTCTGCTGCTTGCTTACATAATTATCGGCGGCACCATTATGGCCTAAACCAGGAGCTGGACATGGGGACCTGGACCTGGACCTGAGTCTGCTACCAAGTCCAAGTGCTCCTTTCACTTTTGTGCCTAATTATTCCTGCTCGGTCGTGTCCACATCCATTGTGTCCCCTGTGATTTCGCACATAATTAAGCTGCGCAAAATTTACATTAAATTAATAGTTTTATTGTTTTGTCTCCGCCTGAGTCTTTGAGTTCCAGCCATGCGGAAGCGGCGCCCTACCAAAAATGGCCAGCCGAAACCTGCCACAGCAATAAAAAGAAAAGCTTGGAGTGAACAGGGGTAATAAGCCATTGCCACCAGCGGCAATAAACAAAGACAAAGCACTGTTAAAATGATGGGGGAATTTATGCAAAACTTAAGCCAATACCCGCATCATTTCACTTTCTTGACTAAACTTCTTTGGGATTGCCAAAAACAAATGAAAAGAAAATATTCTAAAGTCAACTTTTCTAGAAATCAAATATTGGTTTTATGAAAAGGTATATTGATTTATAACTGATTGAAATGTTTTATTCAATGATCTGATATTCTTATACACCCACCGAATCCGATTGGCAGGGCAAAAAATTTGCAAATTCAAAACTAACCCATTTAACGACCTTAATCAGAAAATGGCAAAGTCAAACCTGGTTTTAATTTGAATATAAAACCGTTTAAAGAAGGCAAGACTAAGTGGCCTAGAGGTCGAAAGGTGGCTCTATAAGGTTGATATGATACAGTCAATCCGCGATCGTGGTCCCAAGCGGTTATCGTAATGGGTCTCAGAATATTAGAACTCACCATATTGGCCGGGTTGCTGGTCCTCGTAGCAGTAATTGAAGGACAGCAAAAGGATCATTCATGGTCAGGATACTATACGGATAATGGAAAGCACTATCTGCTGTACGGAAAGCCAAGGGAAGAACTTATAATACCCACATTTGGCAATATATCATCGAATCCTTTTATAAACGATTTGGAAGCACAGGAAAGCCTTCCGACCAGAATCGTCAATGGCGTAAGGATACCCTGTGAAGAAGCTCCCTTTCAGGGTTCTTTGCACTACGAGGGATACTTCGTTTGCGGATGTGTTATTATCAACAGAATTTGGGTCATCACTGCTCACCATTGCTACTTCGGCCCACCAGGGAAATATACGGTGCGAGTTGGTTCAGATCAGCAAAGACGCGGTGGTCAGCTGCGGCATGTGCAAAGGATCGTGGCAATATCGGCATATAATGACTACACCATGCAACATGATCTCGCCATGATGAAGCTGAAATCCCCCATCTTCTACGGCAAATGTGTACAGCCTGTAAGATTACCCTCACCGACAACGAAAAGATTTCCCAAAACATTCGTAGTCAGTGGTTGGGGCATTACCTCGGTAAATGCTCAGAATGCCCAGCGCTATCTTCGCCGAGTTACATTGAACTATATAAAGAGGGGCAAGTGCCAGAAAAAGTACAAAAGCGCTGGAATTAAAATATACAAGGACATGATCTGCGCTAGTCGTAAGAACAAGGACAGCTGCTCCGGCGATTCTGGTGGTCCACTGACAAACAAAGGTGTTCTTTATGGAATCGTGTCCTGGGGCATTGGTTGCGCAAACAAAAAGTATCCCGGTGTTTATGTCAATGTCAAGCGTTATATCCGTTGGATTAAGCGTTGCCTGCACAGATATTAATATATATAACTATAAAAACTGAAGAAATAATGTATTACACTTATTCGGGTCTCAAAAGTAAGACGTACATGATATCTTGGGTTGTTCATACTAATATAAAAGGTTTCCTTAATTCTGATCCAATAGAAATGAATAATTTAAATATCAATAAGATCATTTATAACCTGAGTTAGAAATAAAACACATTATGTAATAAATTATCTATTTAAATCAATTTCTGCACCAAAATCTCATTTTGCACAGTTGATTGCGCATTATTATAAAACTATTAATTATATTTAAGTGTTTGTCTAAAGTCAGCAAACTTAAATAGAAGCCCCCAGGCTGGGATTTCTTGTATTGTTGTCAAAAGTTTGACAGCCCTTCAAATATGAGTGGCGCTGCGTGTGAATTTTTTTTCTCTAGTCAGCTAATTAACTTGGCCTACTTCTATACTTCTATGCCGCCAAAGATAAATGGCAAAAAAGAAAATAGCTAAAACTGATTTAAGAACTGGGAACAAAAAGCCCGACTGGAGAATTATTAATCGAAGATGTTTTAGTCGAAAGGCGCTCGTTGCCCTGATCGGTTATAGAAACGGATTTAAAGATGATTCGAAGTTTATCGGGAATAGTAATATTTGCTGCTCTGTGGATCTTGGTTTTAGGTGGCCCATTTAATAGTAACTCATGGAGTGGTTACTATATAGACAATGGGACCCACTATCTGCTCTATGAGGGCACAGGCCAACAGAGTCCAAGCTTTTTGAATAGAAATATATCCACCAATCCTGCTATAAATGCCTTGGAAGCACAGGATTATCTGCCAACTCGGATTGTGAATGGCAAGAAGATCAAGTGCTCCAGGGCACCGTATCAATGTGCCCTTCATTACAACAACAATTTCATATGTGGCTGTGTAATACTTTCCCGTCGTTGGATTCTAACTGCCCAGCATTGTAAAATTGGTAAAGCCGGAAGCTATACAGTTCGAGCTGGATCGACGCAGCAGAGAAGAGGTGGTCAGCTTCGTAAAGTCCAGAAGACAGTGGTCCATCCGGGCTACAGTGAATACACCATGAGGAACGATCTGTGCATGATGAAGTTGAAAACGCCTTTAAAACTCGGTCGGTGTGTTCAGAAGGCAAAGCTTCCCTCGACGAAAACCAAACGATTCCCCCGACGCTTTTTGGCCAGCGGATGGGGTTTGACCTCGGCCAAAGCCCAAAATGTCCAGCGTTATCTGCGGGGAGTAACGCTTCACTTGGTTTCTCACAGCGAGTGTCAGCAGGAATATAGGGGCACAGGAATCAAAATCTACAAGGAAATGATTTGTGCCACAGGAAAGAACAAGGACACTTGCTCGGGAGATTCTGGAGGTCCGCTGTGCCACAAAGGCGTCCTCTATGGTGTCACCTCGTTTGGTATCGGTTGTGCCAATAACGATTACTCAGGTGTTTATGTCAATGTGCTGCAATATGTTCCATGGATAAAGAAAGTGGCAAGAAATAATTGAAATAATAAAAATGAACAAAAAAAAACTTGGAAGTTTTCTTTTTTCTTTTTCCTTGGAAAATACCTTATTAGAAAGACTAGAAAGTAGGAACCCACATGGTCTTTCGATTCCAATTTTAGATTTTTTATTTATTGCCAATAATAATTTTTGCAATTCTTCTAGTTTTTAAGAATGAATAAATTAAAAAAGGTTAACAAACAAATTATATGCAAAACGTTTTCGTTAAGAAACGCTTCGAGTATTATCAGAGAATTCTAACGATTTCAGAGTCCAGCCTCCAAGAGATAGTATAGGACTGTATATCATTAACGGGCCAATCAATATTCAAGCCAAAATCAGTAGGTCGCATGCCATACCTGGAGGTCATTAGCATTCTTGATTCTAGACTTTTTGCTGCTAGCGTTCGTACCTAAAGGTCAAGAGCTTGACATTCAGTTATTGGCCGATATTGGCTCTTTACGGTCCATTTGTTTTTGTTCGGATGATGAAACTTTTGGCGTTGGTTTTATTGCTCATTTGTGGCTATAAAACCTGGGCTAAGACGCAACAGGGACGGATCGTAGGTGGAGTGGACTTGCCCATTCATCTGTCACCGTGGCTGGCTTCTATAAGTGTGCATGGAAACTATACATGCAGTTCGGCACTGATTACTTCACAGTGGTTGGTGACAGCAGGACATTGTGTTTACTATCCGGATCAGTACTCCGTTCGAGCAGGATCTGCATCCGCTGATGAGGGTGGCCAAAGAAGGGATGTTGTCAAAGTTATCATTCACCCTGATTTTAAGCTGCAGACCCTGGAGAACGACATTGCACTGTTGAAGATCGGTAAACCCTTTGCTTTAGGAGGAAGTGTTCAGCTGGTAAAGCTCCCTCTGCCAGGACTCAACATCCTTCCCCGGACTCTCTTGGTCGCCGGTTGGGGTAATCCAGAGCCCACTGACGCTGACTTTGAGCCCAAGCTACGTGGCACAATGGTGGAAGTTATAGATCACAGACGTTGCCAACGGCTTTATGCCCACCTGAACCGGCCTATTACGGATGACATGGTATGTGCGGCAGCTGATGGACGGGACCATTGTTACGGCGATTCAGGAGCTCCTTTGGTTCACAGAGGCAGTAGCTATGGTATCGTATCCTTTGCTTATGGATGTGCAGATCCACATTTTCCAGGAGTCTACACTAGGTTGGCCAACTATGTCACCTGGGTCTTTAATGTAATTGAAACTGATAGGAAAAATTAATCTACAAATAAAAAGTAAAATAGAAAAATAAAAAAAATATTCAATTATTATACAAGTGTTCCCCATTCGGAAGTGAGTTCTTCCTGGATGCTCATCGCTCCTGGAATACTCGATGCATTATACAATCCGGCAGCGTTTTCCCAGCCATCTGAGAAGCCGCTCTTTGTTCGTGCCCAACCAAGGCGATAAACTTGTACCGCCGGTCGTCGGCAAATTTGTGTAAATTATGTATTTGTGCATTTTGATTTCATTTAAACGAAGTTTCCTGATGGCCCCTGGCGCATGTCAAATATCAAAACCGAAACCAGCCTGCCAGCTAGCTTGCCACTTGCGCAACAGCCACATCCAGCAATCCATATCCATATCCAGCCCCATCCCGAATCCATATCCACAAACATCATCCACATCCCAATCCCAGATGGCCAAAATATCACTGCCATATGCGGTGGGCGTGCTCCGTTAATGCCGCACTCTAGCGGCCCCCGAAATTAACATAATCGTGCTGCTGTAGCTGCTGGGATCGGGATCGGGTTTGGATTTTGTATAGGTATATTGGGATTGCCTTTGCCCGATGTATCCTCGACATGAGTGTGATGCCCCAACAAAGTGTTGAATGCTGGCGCAGGCTGTCAAGTGGAGGCCCCCGGGCATTGGCACACTCAGTCGCCACCCGCTTAGTTGTGCAATGGGAGCATCAAAAGTGGTCTGACTTTTACATGGATTTTCTTTTTCACATTTCTTTTTTTTTTAGTTAAAATAAAATTTTAATAATATGAAAATATGCTTAAAATTTGCATTTCTGCAAGTGTATGTGTGTGGTTGTGGGTGTTTTTTGGGGGTAGTCTGTGTATCTTCATATATATATATAAAAGGGTATCAGCGTTGTGGGGTGTATACGCTTGCTAGTTAGGCATGTAAATCTCTTAAGCATAAATTCACACCGAATCGGCTTTTCTCTTTTATGTATATGTATATTTTGTTATCATTAAGTTACGCTTATACAATTCGTTACGTATTCTAGCCTAAATGTATACCATATCATTTTGTTTTGTTTTCTTTTGCTTTTGCTTTGTTTTAGTTTTCGATTTGCTCTTGTAATGTTGTTGTTCTTTGTATATGTGTTCAAAGGTTTGTTGTAAATTTCAAACTAGTCGCTGCTATATAAAAATGTTCAACAGCAAACTCGTGTATGCATTGGTGTCTTGAATGTGGATCAAAAGCGAATGCACAAACAAATCAACTGTCAAATCGAAAAAATCGTAAATCGTAAATTGTAAAAATGTGTTTAAAAATCGATAGCCAAAAGCCACTAATAATTGTATTTGGTTTCTGCGACAATGCACGCACATAATAAATTTTACAAAAAAAGAACGTAAAAAATGTACAATTACAAGCACACATAATTTGTTTACAATTGTTTTTAACATTTTCTTTTTGCTCTTTACCAATGCAATCTTTAAAGCTATATAACAATTTCATTTTTTTTTCATTTTCGCATCTCTCGCTTAGAGTCGATCGGATTTTCTATTACCGGTTGCTTTCTTGGTTTTTGCCTCAACAAGGATACAACTTAATTAACAGTAAGTGATCAACTAAGGAAGTACTAGAAGATTGACAGTGGGTATCCCCGGCAGCCACTCAACTTATATAGGGGGCACAGCACATGCCCACGAGCTTTAAAAATATTACATTTAGTGTGTGAATTCGTAGGGGGAATAATTTCATAGTCAGTTGAGTGGCTTTGGGGATGCCTTATGCTATCTTATGGGCTGGTTTACAGGTTTATAGTTATTGCAAATGTATTAGACTCAAGTTCAGTTTGAATGTAAGCTTTCTGCTCGAAATTCAGGCAGATGTTTCTACTCATCTTGGCTGGGTGTTGTTACTGTTTGCTGTGTTTCAACTCTCATCTCCTCACTTTCTATCGCTGGATCTCGGCTTTCTATATATCTCTCTCTCACGTACATCACATATTTTACACTTTAATAATACTTCCTTACACATAATTTATTAATTAATTCATATTTCTCTCTTTGCAGTTATGTAGAGCTAAAATTGGTTGCTTCTGCTGCTATTGTTGCTAACTCTATTGGACAGCTCCGTTCTACACCAGCCAGGCATTGATTAGTTGATGCTCCCTTAGTTGATGATCCCGCTGCTGATCCTGCTTACATTGCTGTTGAATGGATTGATCGGCTCCAGTTTACGACAAAAACGGATTTGTAGCTGCTTCCGGTTTGATCCACGGCATGTTGTTATTTTGCTGCAAAGTTTATAAGTTTGTATAAGTTTGGATTCTAGATTTCGATTTTCGTAAAGCTAATTTGCTAGAAATAAGCAAACTACGTGCAGAGTTTAGAGGTTTTTGAGCAAACTACAATATGTTAAGTTTATTGGTTTTAGTTGTTAAAAGGAAAAATCTACGAGAGTTAGTTAGCGGAGCATGCACATTCGAAAAACATTTTACCCATTTGCATTTATTGCATATTGTATGTGTTTTATTTAAGCGTCCAAGCCTCCATTGATGGCTACAATTAGAAAATATTATGGATCAACTGGGTTTTAGCAGAGCTGCTTTGGGTTAATATGCATACGATTTTTAAGAGGAGCAGCAAAGGAAACTGCTTTTGAGGATAATATTTTTTGATTGATTTTGAATATAGTTCCTTTGCTGCCCTCCCTGGTTGGCAGTTTCGTAGTTCTTATACTTGCAAGTCAAATTAAAGAAAACTAAATCAACAAAGTCATTTCCAAACTAAAAAACAAAAACCCAAGCTAAACAATAAACGACTGGCAAAGGAAGTAGTAGTAGTGGAATTGGCAGCAACGACAGCTTCAGCGGCAGCACACTCACTTCCAGCTTACAGTTGTTGGCCGACGTGGTTGAGGAACCAAAACTTATGACAGGCTCGGCCACAAAGCCCATGGGAGCAACACTAATTCCCGGGGTTTCGGACAGCGAATCGGATAGGGCGCTGCTATAGCTGGCCGCATAGCTTGAGTATAGTCTAGAAGTGCCATAGTTGCTGTTGGCATTGTTGCTATCATTGCTTTTATACATATAAGAATCATCAACTGGTGCTGTTGGACTATTATAGTAGGGACGCTCATTGAATATATCCATGTTCCGAATGCTATCGATGCCAGGACTCGGACTCATATAACTGCTGTATATAGTGCTGTTGCTGGTGGTGCTATTCATGTTGCTGTTGCTAAGAATATTGGTATTGCTGTTGCTTTGATACGCATAGTTGTAGACCTGTGAATTGGGCTGTGGCTGTGGGATGATGGCGGAGGGAATGATGGGATTACTAAACGCGCTCAACACCTGAAATTCACCCACACCCACAGACGAAGGCCCCAAATTGAGGCTAGTGGGACGTACGGGAGGCGGAAGTTTTGGCTAGGATATCGGGATTCACATGCAACAGTTGCTCAAAACGAAATGACAAAAGGACAAACGATAGTAAAAGGAAACAAAATGCATATATGAAATGATAAGATAGTTTAAGAAAGTAAACAGAAATACCGATAAATCATCAGAGAGCAAAACCTTAATAAAAACAATCAAGATTCAAGTACAAGTACGTAGAGTTTCCCTAACACCGCAGACGATTTGATTCCTTCCAATTCTGGCAACTCACCTGTGAGGTCGCACTAACGCCGCCCATGACTGGTGCCCAGGGATCCTGGTTCATGCTGACTGTGAAGGGAGCCTGTTGTTTCAGTTGGTTAATGGACGGCACCTACGAAAAGCAATGATATCCAATTAGCTAATCTATATATTTTAAATCAAAGAAAAAACGTCACTTACGGCTGGCTGCTGTTGCTGGAATAGATTCGTCTTGGGAGGCATCACATTGTCGCTAAAGGGATTATATGCCGGTTGATTACCCGTTTGCGTCTGTGGCGCAATCGGTTTGATCAGATTGTCCAGGTTAACCAACGCAGAGTTCTCGCCGAGGAAGGAATGTGCATCCTTCAGCGGTTTCTTTGCCGTGGCGCCCGTCGACGGATGTACACTGTTGTTTATAGCTCCATTTCCGTAGTTCGCCGATAGCGGATCCATGTCATCGAGCAGAGAAGCTGGAAGTGGTTTAACGTTGATAAGCTCAAAAGTGATTATGTCTTATTCATGAATGACTTACCATTGTTGTTATTGGAGGCGTTGGAATTGCTTAGCTCGCTCTTATTCCGGTTGGTTATTAAGTCGAACTCATCAAACTCCGGGGATGTTTGTTTCTGCAATTTAAATTAAAATTAAAATATTTTCTTAAACTTTGGCTTCTCAAGGTTAAACAAATTCGATTATATTATTAAATTAGGTGAACGCAGCCAGACAGGTTTTAAATTAAATTATTTAAGCAGATCAATGAACTAAAGCTAATTAGTTTTGGGTACAACCACTGGACATTTTACCTTAATGGCGCCTGTTCCAAGTGCTTTCCAGGGATCATCTAGCGCTCCCGCACCCTGAGGTGCTGCTCCTGCCGCCCAGGGATCCGCCAAACTGCCAGCTCCCGCTCCACCTGCCGCTGGTACTGCTGGCTCTGCTAGCCAAGGATCCGCGGATGAGCTGCCATTATTTGCTGCATGGTTTACGGGCGCAGCTCCCAAAGCCCCGACAGCAGTTGATTTTATTAACCAGCCTGGTTCAGCAGCAGCTCCAGCCGGAGTAGCCCCACGTCCATTCTGGTTGGCATTGCCATTGGTCTGTAACCAACCCTCGTTGGAGGAGCCCGAGGCTACCGATGGCGACTGGGTGCGACCTCCCCAAGCATCGTTTCCGGCTGCTCCGCCTAATGGCGCTGCGTTCATTGGCACTCCTGCACCCATAATGGTACGCGGAGCAGCAGAGGGATTCCAGGGATCAACTTGAGGAGTGGGAGTTCCGGACCAGGGATCGGACAATTGACTGGGAGCTCTGGGCCCGGGCGTTGCCCATGGATCGACAACAGCCGCAGGAGCGCCGCCTGCAGCGCCCAGCGGTGGACTCGAGATGCTCGTGGCGCCCAGTGAAATATCCAGCAGATCGAGCAAGTGACTCTGAGGCTCTTCCTTTTTGGGTGCGGGAATGGGCCGACCATTAGGATCCCTAATAGTATGAAAGTTATAGTTAAAAATATAACGAGAAATAAGTTATTCTGTACTCACTTAAAGTCCTGTTCACTTTGGCTGAGGGCAAGTTGAAGACGCACATCATCACTGCGCCGCTTCGCCTCCTCCTGTTCCGCTTCCTCACGTGACATCGCCATCGCCAGCTGAAGTTGGAGCTCCTCCTCGCCGGCAGTCTGTGGCCGGACCATTTCCAGCTCGGAGACAGACTTTGGAGGCTCTTCCTGCCAGCCTGGCGGCAGATCCCGCTGTGAGGGTCCATCAATGTACCCATCGCTGCCGAATCCACTCGGATGCTGAGAAAATCGCTCCTTGGCCTTCAGCGCCTTTACACGCTCGTTCTTCAGTCGCTCGTCATCCTTGAGGAGATTGACCAGCTGCTTGGCCTTCTCACGGACGTGAGTGCCCTGATCCTTGCCCTCCTCGAAGTAAACAAATTCCCGCAATGTCTGGATGGCGAAGATATTCTCCTTACACTGCTGGGCCACCTTCTCTGAGCCTGTCTTGATCAGGTACTCCAGCAGAATGAGTGCCTTGTAGACATGGCGCCAGTTCTTGCCGTGGTCGTTAAGACGCTTCCAGATCATCTGCATGATCTCCGAGAAGGCCACCACATTGTAGGTTAGGTCCGCTATCTCCCCCATGATAGCGGCCGAAGGACCCCAAGGATCATTCGAGGTGGCCTCGCGCACTTTAACCTATTCATGGGAAGAAAATATTATTTAGATGATAGCTTTATATAGACCATGTGGATCACTCACCTGGGCATCGGAGTAGTTGTGCGCAAGGTTCTTGATGTTTCTGCGCAGACCAGCGACATTGACCTGCATATCGTCCTTTTGCTTTCTCACTGTGTGACGAGAATGATGGAAAGGGGTATTAACATGGCTATATATTCTCGATCCTACTCTCGAATGGGAATAGGGGGCTTTAGGGTGGATTCTAGGAAGGGTTATTTGTTCTTTGGTTAAGTTTTGCTATCGAAAAGTTCCGCTTGGATGCGATTGCGAATAGGTGTAGGGTAAATTTGGGATTTAAAATTTTTGTTTTTTGACAATTTCTGTGAAGGTTTCTGAAGTGTATTCCGAGTCTAAAGTGTTAAGTGTGTATCGGACTACAAAATCTGAACAAAAACAAACAGAAACGGGTGAAGACAAATCGGTTCCAATGGGTGCTTTTGGAACTTATGTGGAAGGTGTTTTGTGATCTGTATGTTGGGATTTGCTGCTCTGTGTTTGCCGTGTGTGTTGTGAGATGAAACTCGAATGCATTTCAAATCGAATAGGATCGGATTGGATTAATATATCCTATTTTTTAATTGGCGGTGTTCTTTTTTTTTCGGAAAGAAATTGAAGTTAAATGAGATGAATTAACATTGAGACTTACTTTTCGTTTGTTTTTGCGTTTGACTTTGCTTTTTATTTTCTAAACAGAAAGTTTGGACTTTTGCTTGAATAAGCTATAGATTCTTTTATATTCGTTTTGGTTTATGTTTATTGCTGTTTAAGTGCTCCAAAGCAAGCTAAATATGAGATACAAGATAAATACAATCAAAATACGTAGTAAAAGAGTACACATACGGATATACATATTTATATATAGTCAAATGTCGGTTGTTTGCAGAGGTTGCAATGGTGCAAAACACACAAATCAATAGGTAAAGTAAATGCCAAACTCAAGTGCACCAAACAAAAACAGTGAAAGCACACTTTAAATAAAGAAATATAAACAAATCCCCGAGTTCTTAAAGCGCTGCTTTAAAAAACCACACCAGACCTTAGAATACTCGCAACACCCAGTCCACGAGCCTCCTAGAAGAAATAATTCAATTTGCGGGCAAACAAAATGTAGAAAGAAGGGAAAAACAAAACGGCGAAAAACTAAAAGAAAACACAGCAAAGAGTATTTCCCTTGAAATTTGCAACTCGACTTGGCAACACACTGCTGGGAAAATAATCAAGAAAATAACAGAAAACTTAAACAATGTTTTTGTGAAAATTTATTCAGCGTGAAGCAATAACAAAATGTATTCATATGTACATGTGTCCACGAATATCTTATTTAAAAGTGTATACTTAATTTGTTAAACAATTTTTTTTATTTACAAAAGATGAATGCAAACATAAAAACATTACAAAGATAGAAAAAGGCAAAACACGGCTCTAAATTCCTAAAATATTTAACCTTTCCGAAAATCGTTATTTTCAAAACCCCTCGACAAACTCACTCATTTAGCTTATCCACCCGACTGTGTCAAATGCCTTTGCTTGAACTTAACCCATGGCAGACCGACACAAGAAGCCGCACAAATGCAAAATAGCCGAGGCACAAGAATCAAAAGTGGACAGACAACCGTCTACGGCCATGTCTGGATATGCAAATTTTCAAACCAAGCTGCATTATGCATTAAATGGCGAGCAACAACCACAGCGAGAAATTATAGCAAATGAATTGATTTTTTCCCTTCCTTTTCCGCGGTGCACATCTATTTTTAAAGACAAGAAATGTACAGCGGATAATCAAATTGTTATCGATTGGATGGCTAAAGTGGCAAGAATTCTTCGAGAAGAACTTTAAGTAATGGAGTTGCTCGCAACCATAATGAAATCTAAGAATATATATATATATTGCAGCCGGGTGACCGTTGCAAATTTGTGTTTATTACGGATAAGATAACTATGTGCATATGTAAAAAGTAACTGTATTTGGGGAAGTCAGATAAAATCGCAATTCGTCACAATACATTTCACAGACTTTATGAGGTCAATAAATTTATTCAGTATAATATTATAGAGCAATTAACTGTAAGAACAAGCGTCTTTATATTATATGCCAAATATTTTATTTTTGATAAGCGAATTCCACATTTCAGTAAGGTAAAGATAAGGTATAAAAACCCATTAGATACCATTGTTTTTCATCCGAGAAAAATAATTACATGTGCTATATGTAGTAATTATCAAATGAGCTATGGAATTATTGAACAGATTTCCTTCATACTGTGTTACTAATTAAAACATTTCCCTATATAAGATCTTTACCTTTTAATGCCTTTGTTATTACAGCCCATTAATAAAGCAATTATCTACAGCAAACCTAAAGAAAAGCTCAGAGACACTGATAAATGTCAAATAATTAAAAATAGCGAGTATCAACCGGTTTGTAACTGGAGAAATGTTGTAGCCTATGATCTTTATGCGGTCTGACAAATATATAAACATATATATTTTTGTTTATTTTTCGTGTAAACAACGCACTTGACACATATCGAAGAGAGCCGGCAAGGCAGCGGCGAAACTCCATCGAGAACCCGCCATGAAACTGTAACTCACAGATAAACCCGTTCCGCAAGTATTCGAACTATGCGAGAAAACGAGTGATAATGTGGGGGAATACTCGTATCCGGAGAAAGAAATTCATTGACCGATCCACACACAGATCGTAGTAACGATCCACTGCGAAAAAAGGGCCATTTGCTTGCTTGTTTGTTTGTTTTCATTTCATCTGAAGAAGGCGAAATAATTGAATTAAATGTCGCGCAGTAAAACTACGCAAATGAAGTGCAAGAGTCAAGATACAATGGGCGGAGATGGGGGTGGTGTGTTTTTCTGGTCTGTTTTTGTTATGGTGGTTGCCTGAACTTGAGCAAATTGAATGCCAGACAGAGGCAACGACGAAGCTTTCTTTGTGTTTTCTGCACTTGACTTTCGGCAAAACGTCGCCGTTTTATTGCCAAAAAATATACAAGTAAGCTTGTGTAGGTTTATGCATGTATGTATATCAAAACAAACAGAATACTGAACGAGTTGCGAATCACTTTGTTCCAAGGCAGAGAGCCTTGACGGCAGCGGTTCAATGAACGTAGCGAAAAAAAAGCTCCGTAATACGCTCCAAACACCGAACTAAACTCAAAAGATGGAGCTGCTCCCGTGCACCGTGTGCTTCTCGATTGATATGCACGATGTTACTGATCATTTTGGGGATCGCTTGTTATATCTAAAAGCAATTAAAGGCGAGCAAAATATTCCACATCCACGAGACTGTTTGACGTGCATTATTGTCAGACGTTTAGCATGTTTCCGCTAAGGTGAAATATTGATGAAAGCCTGTCAGTAAGCCCCATAAAAGATCGTTCTCTTAGATAAACTTTTATCTCTTCCTCTACATGTTTATATCTGATTTGAGCTTTTCTACATTGTTTATTAACTTAAAAAGCACCTTGATATTACTCTTGATAACATTTTTCTCTAAAAGAAGGAAATCTTCCTTTCTTCATTCTTTAACAAGCTTGTTGTTTTTAAAATAAATTTTAGAGTGCCTTAACTTTATGGCAAACATTAAAACCTTATCAGTTTGGGATTGAGAATTTGCGTTCTCTTTTCTAAATAGAAAATAAGTTTAGAAAACTATGTTATCGCACTTTTGGATTATACAGTACAGTCAAAATTTGAAGTTATCGGAAAACAAAATTTGTTTTGAGAAAAATATATTTGCTTTTAGAACGTTCGAGAAGTTAGTCTTTTGGAATTTCCACTATCTGAAGGCTTCATTCGCAAAATGAAATGTTTGCTTTTGGTTTACGGTTATCTTTACTTTAGAGATGTTTTTCTATTAGCACCACAAACAGGTGAAATGGGTTAAGCGCTGTCGGCGAAGGTCACTGTTCGCTTGATGATGCTGCCCACTGTGCAACATGATCGCCCGACACCTCCCCTATTGCTGCATCTGTTGTAAATGCGGGCGCACATTACATTGGTATCATATAATATATATATATATATGTATATACATATGTTTATATTAACTTGTACATGGGTGCTTTTTGCAGCTGTGTGCGTGTGATAACAAGTCAGAAATGCGATTAGATTTCATTTGTGTCACTCAAACTACTCACACACACAAACGCACTGATTGGGGGCAGAAATGTGCGAAACTTCATTCATTACTCATACGCCCCCCTTGCATACCTAAACCCGTTTCCACCTACGCCCCTGGCAACCCTGGACTTACTATGACTAATCAGGCGACCGGCTAACGGCACTTATCAAATTAAAAACACAAAAACCAAAGAAACGTTATCAATAAACATAAAGTTTAAACGGTTAGCGGGGAATTACATTTAGACAAGGGGATCTATAATTACGAAAATTTTAAAAGACATAAAATAAAGTCCCAAAGAGTGAGAAAGAAATATCTTTCTTTTATTTTTGTCGCCCCTCCCCTCTTCATCCCACTTACTCTTTCGCTCACCTGCAATGTTGCTGTGTTTATTGTTGTTTTTGTTGCTTCACTGCAGTTCGCCTATGGGTGTGTGTGTGTGTCTGTGTGTGTAAGAGTGTATCTGCTGTGTGTGTTGCGTGTGGGGGCTCCGTGTGTGTACTTGTGTATGTGTGCGACTCCTCCTCCCCAACTAGTTTTCTTTTCTATATTTTACGACTTTCTTTTCTTTCTTTTTTCGGACTCGAATAGACACAGTCACAAGATGACCGATGACGACAATGCGACGACGTCAACAAAAGGTAAAAACAGTATAGCTGCGCGCACGATATGGATATCCAAAATCCTGGCACTTAATAGGGCTTTCAAATGTCTCGAATGCGACTGCGACTACGACTGCAAAGATATCGCAACTTATTTACCCTTTGCACTCTGCACACAAAACGAATTATTATTTCTTTTCTCTGGTTTTTTGCTATTGGTGTTACCAGGTGTTGTTAGGCATTTTACCTCAAACTAGGAATTTCTTGTAAAATATTGGCGGTCAAATCTGGTAACACAATGTAGGTGAATATAATGATTTGTGGTAAGTTTTTATAGCGTAGACTCAAACCATTAGTTTTGTAAGTTCCGACATTCCCCATCAACGGTTTATTAAAATGGCGCTAGTGTCACAAACAAGTAACACATTTAAATTTTACTTATTTGTTATTTTAATATATTATTAAGCTTCAAGAACTTGCTATAAATAAAGCAAGACAACAACAAATTCGATTTTTATTTACGATTTTATTTAGAATACCATTTTCAATTCCATATAATTACACGCTTAAATCTATTTTCTCATTATGTTAACCAACTGATAACAATATTTTTTCTCGTTTCTTATTTTTTATTCGTTTGTTCACGTTGTGCATGTGCACTGCTAAGGTTCTGTTTGTGAATGTTTATTTTTTGTGTGGTTGAGTGCTTTTTGTTATTAACATTAGCTGCGATTTGTTGCTCTCGTTTAACTCTAAGTACCTACTTGAAGATGTTCAACGTTCATACGTGTATACAATTATTAAATAAGGATAATTAATGTTTATATGCAGTTGCATATTCGATATCGTAACCTTTCGGATTCTATCGATAGCTTTCCGAATTTCAATTTCTCGATTTCGTTTGTCGCTAAAAACTTGAATCAAAAGCTTGTAAAATAACTTCAATTTCAAACGATTTTGTTTGTTTGGCTTCCAGTCTTTCTACAATGATACTGAGTAGATTCAACTTTATATATATTTTTAGATATTAGAAAACATAGGACTTTATAAATATATTTTTTTCGAAATTCCCTAATTCTGAGAAATTGAAAACCGAAAAACCATCAACGAAAGTCAAAACACACATTTGCAATATTGAGCCACCAACAAATAAGCTTAAATCATAAGACTGTCCTCGTACGTTTGTCCTGGGTCACGGGGTCTTTGAACCCCCAAAATCGTGATCAAATTGCGCATTAAATCAACGAAATAACTCAACAAAAAAGCATTCGGTCCGAAAATCTTTTCTCGATTTTAGCGATGACTTAAATAAAACATAAGAACTAAGTTAACTTAAGGCATACAAATCCGAACTCGCTCTCTCTGCCGTTTGCATGCTGCTCCGCCCGATCTCTATCGATTCTGCCTCCTTCACCCGTCTGCGATTTACAGTAAAATAATGTGCTCTTTATATCGGGGTAATCCCCCCGAGGAGCCAAAGCCCCCTAAAAGGAGGACTCACTCCTCCGGCGGCTCCTCGGGTATCTGGAGGCTCTGCGCCGCGTGTGGGTATTCTGCGTGCACGGAGTTGGAGTGGACGGATTCGGAGTCCTCCTCTAGAGCATTCGCCTTACTAGGCGGCGGCGTCAGTGCATCATTGCCTATTGGAGGCTGCACCAAATTGGGAATATACTCGACCGTCTCGTACTCGGTCTTGGCCACCGCTTCGTGGTCAAGATCCCGGTCTAGATCCCGCTCCCTCTCCCTTTCTAGCTCTTGCTGCAAAGAATCGTGTACGACTGGCGGCACCAAGGCATCTGCCTCATCATGGGCCACATCCAAATCTGTTTGGTTGAGTTGGGTGCCCGTTAGATTGGCCTCCTGGAGTTCCACAATTACTGGCAAAGTTTCATTTGGTTTTGGCGTCGTTGTGCTAGTGGTTGTTGTGGTTGGTGGAGTAGTGGTTATCATCTCAGTTGTTGACTCTGTAGTTGTCGTGGTAGTCGTGGACGACTCGGTGCTGGTCGTAGTAACAGGATTCGCTGTGGTGGACTCGATCTTCTCTGCTTCCGGCTGCACAGGAAGTGGCAGAGGTGGTGGCGGCGTAGTGGTAGTCAGGAGGATTGGCGGTGGTATCGATGAAATAACCTGCAGAGTGGCAATAATAGGTGGCAATGTGTTGTCATTGGTCTTGATCGGCACCAACATCTGCATCACCGGTTTGGCATCATCACGACCACCTATTTTCAGATTGGTGACCATTATAGGCAGGTCTACCTTGTAAAGCATTGGCAGTACGGTGCACACCTCCTGGTCATTTTCGAAGCACTGGGATCGACCACGGATACGAGCCTCCTGCACTGCCATCAATGGGCATAACTCGTTAAGCCCCGTGTCGCACATGATGGGATTGTCTGGAAAATGGTTGAATAATTTTAAAGATATTGGAAGTTTTTGGGAAAGCCTAAAACATATTTAGAAAACTCGTTGATATCTTACCATCTAGATGAATCTCCAGTTTGCCGGGAACATTGTGATTTTTGCAGCGAGTGTTGGTAACTAGTTTGCTCGATAGGGTCGAGATGTGATTGTTGGTCAAATTGGCCTGGCACAGCACGGGCATACCCTTGAAGTCCTCCTCCAATTTGGTTATATTGTTGTATGCCAACTTGAGAATCTTCAGGCTGGGCAACAAGGTCTACAGAAGGGTTTTACCATTTAGTACAGGCAATACTAAATGCAAAATGATGTACTTACCATTTCAAGGGCCTTCAGCTCCGCCAACTGGTTTCCAGTGAGGTCAAGAATTTCCAAACGGTTAAGTCCATCGAAATCGCCCACTTGGAGGTGCTCTAAACGGTTCCCAGCTAACTTTAGTATTCGGAGTTGGCCTAAACCGGCCAAAGCTTTGTTAAGGGAATCAATTCTGTTATTATCAAGTTCCAGGGTTAAGAGAATTAGTTCATGGACTCCTCGGGGATCGGGGAGTAGTCGTTGGATGCGATTGTTGGACAAATGAAGGGACTTTAGCGATCGCAGTCCATGCAGTTCCGCCATGGAGAACTCTTCGATCTCATTGTATGACAAATTGGCACTGATAAGCTTGCGCATGGGGAGTAGGGACGAGTTTAGTGATTTGATATGATTAACGGCGATTAACAGGCTTTCCACCTTCGAGCAAGAAGCGAACTCATCCTGGGCTAGGTACTCAATTTCATTGTTGTCGGCATTGACCTCGGATAGATTGACGGCGTTGCGAAGAACGCGATCGAACGATCTCAATTGATTGCAATGTATATGGACTGTTTCCAGGCTGTGCATATCGGCCATATTAGCCGGTAGTCGTTCCAATCTATTGTTGTGGGCCATCAGGAGACGCAATTGACTTTTATCCGGCAGCTCATTGTCCAGCGTTGTGATGTTATTCGCATTGATAAACAGAGATTGCAGATTGTGCAAATCGTGTAGTGAGCCATTGAGTGATTCCAATTGATTTCTACCCAAATGTAGGATTAGGAGACTCTTTGGAAAGGATCCTCTGTCCAAACGGGCAATGATGTTGCTCACCAGAATCAAGTTCGTCACCCTTTGAATGCCCCGGAAGTCCTCCTGTTGCACCGCCCGTATCTTGCACCGCCCAATGTCCAGAGTCAAAAGGCTCGGCATGTGGCTCAAGGCGTGCTTCGGGATCTCGTCGAGTTCGTTGTCGCCGATGCTTAGGTAGGTGACATTCGATAACCCGCGGAACGGCACCTCGGGCAGCGATCTATAAATAGCGACCACAAAAACAAATCTATTACAATTTCGTATTATTAGAAGGAAAGAGATATGGCTAAAACGGAGTACGTCTATCCCATTGCAATGGTCTAAAGATTAATGTGTACAAGAAGTTACTAATCACATGCTTTTTTAAACGATAATATTCAATATTCCATCAAGAGGACAACAAAGAGCAATATAAGGTAAAATATTGTACAAAATAATTATCTACATATACATAAATATATATTTTAAATAGGAATTAAAATCTATAGACGCCATCAAGTATTAAATGTTATTGATGGCATCAAACACTTTAAAGGATTTTCTAATGTACAATCCCTTTTATTATGACTATAGGGAATTTTTAATTAGTTTAGTTATATTAATTTAGTAATAAGGGTTTCCCCAAAAGGAAGATAATTCTTTGCTATTTTAATTTGAATTTGGTATATTTTTTTGGTATATTATCGCTGACGACATTTTCCAGTCTTTTTGTATATATTAATGTAAATAATCTGGTTTCCTTTTAAAATTTAGAAGTTTAAAATTTAGAGTTGATCCTGTCGTTGAAATTGCTTTTATGAAAACCTTAAAATGGTTCATTCTATATTTTATTTATATAAGATATATATTTATTTCGAAAATGCCTGATTTTATGAATGGCTTTCATTAAAATGAGAGCAATGAACCCTAAATCTGTTTCACGCTATGACTGTGATTCAAACCAATCTGTAATTAGTTTTGAATGGGTCCATATCACGTTTCGGATCCCTGGTCTATCTTTGGAACTGATGACGCAGCCTTATCAGGGGCTACGGCCCCCGAAACCGCCCCATCTCGCTCCGCTGCACCTGATCAGTATCTTTATCGACGTCTGCAGGTGGCTATTAAGTTGTCGCCGTCGAGGCGCCAAACGGCTACCAAGAACAGCAGATTCATGATGGGAACTGGGCTGGATGGCGTGCCAAGTGCATCCTTGGCGCCCGTTATTGGCATGGGATGTGGGATATATGGGATGGATATATGTACATATGGTAGCAAGTGCAGTAGATTGATTGGCAGGCTCTATTTTTAGCCAGACGATCTTGATTGATTGCCGGCTCCGAGATGGAGTGCAACTTTATCTGCGAGCTGGGCTTGTCAAGCCTTGATTATGTAATGAGAGAACCTGGCCAAGCGTTGGTTGCTCCTCCGTATACTGTATCTATAATGAGCCCGTTGAACTTGGCCACATAGATATCGAGATAGATAAATCGATGGATGGACGGATGACTGGTATGTGCGATCGTGCAAAGATGTATCCACAATTCCTTAACGTCAGTGGTATAATTGTCACACGACCTAAACTGGCCCCTTGATCATTGATTGAGCGTAATAATAAAATTCAATTGGACTGCCTGCTTCGCTCTTGGCTGACCCCGGACCAAAGACCACTGAAAACACGAAGAGAACAGTGAGCCGTTCCCGTTCCCATTCCCGTACTCGTAATCGTACCCTTAACATGTACCCAAAAATCGAAAACAAAAACATGTTGAAAGTATTCCATTTGAAAATTGTACTTCTCTGTTGTTGTTTACCGCGCTTCCTCCTAGAGAATCGATGCTAACAAATGAAAATTTCCACTCAATAAATTATGTGAGAGTAGTTATCATTAATTAATTGCACTTTTCGCACTTTCTCAAGGGTTACTACGACTGACGATCGCCGATAATGGTGGTATTAATGAAAATATTGCAATAATAGCCTCAAACAAATCAGCGAGTGATTGAACATATAATGCATACATACATAGTAAACTTCGAGCATGAGACCTTCTTATCGCCTGTGAAAGCACAAGATCAAAGCCATTAATCCATTGAAGAGGCCACATAACTCGTTCAGTACCCCCTTCTCTATTAAAGATCCCGTCCCGTATATATCCATTCAGTATTTTCCTCCACACTGAATCAAGTCTCTGATAGTAGATGATCGTAAAAAATAAAAAACATAATCATAAACGCTTTTTGATTACTTTTGGCGCACCTATAAACATTTTTTAATGCTTTATAATAATCGGCATTCTGTTATCAGAGATTGTTTTTGGTATTTGTTATTTTTGTATTAGAATCTGGACTACGATGGACTAGATTTATCTGGTGATTTATAGCGAAAATGTATAAATCAATATATATTTTATTACTACTATTTAATTCGCTGGAAAATTGAAAATTTCCCAAAAAAAAAAGTGTTTATTCCTTCATATTTGAAATCAAATTCCGGAAATTTCCCACAATTTACCGTATCAGCTTTCTTAGAAGTGGCGCCACGTTTGACATAAAAATTTCATTTAATAGTTATTAAATAGAAATGTCGCCTTTTCATTATATTAATATACATACATGCATATATACTTTTTAAGATTTGATTAGTCAAATAATTAAAACAACTTCTGCCAGTGCATACGAATACACATGTGTGGTAGCGGTACTTTTCCTGGCTGAGTTGGCATGATTTGGTCAAAGCGCGATATTAAGGCAATAGGTCAATTATTATAAATTGACATCAATGTAAAAAGCGTTTCCCGAGCAACCAGCACCGAGAATCGAAGGCATTGCCACCAAAGGCACGCGCTCTCTCACTGGACTCCCGATGGCTCTGGATGAGATCGGCGGTTGGGGAGATGGTGATTGGGACAGTGATTCGATCAAGTCGGATAATTAAATCATTTCGTCTCACATACAAACACACAAATTGTATTCAGCGGATGATGAATCGAATCTCGAATCAAAGGAAATATGATTTCAAAAAAATAGATATGAATAGTATCTACATATTCTCGGAACTAACAGATTATTTTCTGAGAATTTTTAATATAATGAAACTACATTCTTGTAGGATATATCACTCAAAAATATGGGTTTCTTTGGAAATGCTTATCTTATATAAAAAAAATTATTAATTTTGAACAACTCTTGATCTCACTAAAAAAATAGACAGCTTCCGGATTTGGCTTAATATTCATTGGGATTTTCAAGACATAATGTTATCGAAATTTCTAAGTATTTCTCAACAAAACAAACGCTTTTTGTATTTGCATTTTTTTAAACTTTTTGTGCCACTCAATATTTTGAGTTTTTGCTGAATGAAATTCTTTTGCCACAATGAATCCTGAGTAATAAAATTTTTGTTTTTAACCGAGACTTTTGCCATAAAACAGCGGAGTCAAAAATCAATGAACCGGCGGCAGGCGCTTATGAAATAGGCTTGAATGTTATTTCTATATTGTGAAGACCGGGGATCTGTAGATCGACAGCATTTATTTATATTTGTTATTTATAATTGTCAATATATATAAAACACAATGCGACAGTGAATTGAAATTCATTCAGAGTCAGAGTCAGAAAACGTGCAGTCGCCGTTCAAGTAAACTGCAATAAACATTTTTTTGTAAGCATTAAGTATACGCTCAATACAGCCTGTCAATGTACAGTACATAGAGTCCTATATATATATTTCATATACTTATAGGTGATAAGACCTGCCATTATCAGTTATCAACAAAAAGAAAAATAACAAAACATACACAGGGGCTTTAGATGGTAGTTGCTACTACAAAATGCCACTTCCTAATTAAAAAATTAAATCATTTGGTCGGTAATTAAGATGCAACTGCAGCAGCTCCACCTGCACCTACACCTCTACCACCACCACCTCCAGGTCCATATCCAAGTCCATCTCCTTAGCAATTTGCCCAATTGAGCTATAGATAATGAGTCGGTACTGGGCTCTTTGACGTAAATAAACGACATTGTTATTGTTTTAGTATCTACATGGCTGTAAACAAGACCTGGGGATCCGATCTGAGGAGAACATTTTTTTGTTCTTGCATTTACATAAGCGTATTGAAATTTGTGTACATTTTGCATTATTATTTTTCGCTCGGTTTTTATTGGGTTTAAGGAACCTAAATTGATAGCCGACCGAGCGGAAAATTCTGCCTGCGGAACTTGGCTATTGGCCTTGAACTCCCCAGCAAAGATATTTTGATTGAATCAATAGCAGGAAAATTTCCCCAATAATTGATATACCTTATACTCGAAAATCGGCCCACGTTCTTAGAAATTCTTAAAACGCACTGAATACGCGCTGGCAAAATATTCTTAATAAACGATTTTTTTCCCCTAAAGGATCGATCTTTACACACTTTTTACACCAAAAATATTTGTCTTGGAAGACCAGTTAAACATTTCAAAACGAAATTTATATGTTGAATGATGTAACTGATTTGTTATAGTGACTCAGGTAGCAATTTCATATGGAATGTGCACCCAAAAAAACCCCTTATTTGCTCCTTCTATGGGAAAATGTAAACCAGTGAGTCAACTCGCCTTAGACCGTTCCATTGCATCCGTAGCTTGTACAAGTTGAAGTTCATATCCGTAAACGATCGCATTTCCAGGTCGTCGAGTTGTGAGTACGTGATCTTCAGGTCGATTTGGGTATCGGAATTGAGCTTATTGGAAAGGGTGTCGACTACTTTGTTAAATGATTCCAGTTTCTCGCAGGATAGCTCCACATGGTTCCAGGCCTTGCCCGCTTCACAGGTGCAAGGTGATATCTCTGGGCGAACGGAACACTGGAGCGTTGCCAGGTGAAAGACGGTGTACATAATGGAAGTCATTTTGTTGAGTGATCAATCACTCTTGTTAATTTTGATTTCACAGTTCTTTGGCAAGCACAAAATGTTGTATCTGGGATATATGTTTGGTTCACAGTTCACAAATCACGCTTTTCCGGGTTTCGATGCCAGGATACACGATGCATTCGTTCGGGCGGCAATTTACCAACTGTTCGAGCAGGCAGCTCGGAAAATGTAGGGAAATTACCAACTAGACAAACATATGCGAACGTGCGGGGGTTTCCATTGCATCTCGGTTTTCCTGAAGGATTTTGTTGATTCTATGAACCGATGGCATCGGATTTCAAAGTAACACTCACTAGTTTACAAAAATTCTAAATAACACACGTGCACAACACTTCAAGATCGATTGGATTGATCGTATCCTCCTATCTGACAAGACCTCTTGACCCGCCTTTGTATATAGATGAATAATCTTTTCAAAAATGTTCGAATACCGCGGGCGTTTTTCTCTATATTCTCTCTAGTGATAACGTCTTGTTAGCAGAGCGGTCTGTTTGCGACTGGTGCTGCCTTGGGTGCGTTGATGCCGATTTCGTTGCTGCTGCTGTGCCGCTCTCAGATCTCTTGGCTCTCTTTTGAGAGAGCTTTGGCGTTTTGGCCAATTGCGGACTTGATTTCTGGCTATAATTGTTCACAACACTCAATTACATGTGTTCCTGTTCTTTCGGCGCCAGGCATCAATCTCCATCTACCATATATCTCCAACTCTTTTTTGTGCCCCCTTCGAGTGGCTGAGATGTAGCTACTTGCCGCATGATGTTGTTGTCGGTTGGTTGGTTGGGAACTTCTTCTTCGATACCTAGTTCTATGTATGGGGCATCATTATATTATCATGGGCACATGTTGGTACTTATATCTATATGTGTGTATGCTGCTTGATGTTGTTGTTGTTGCCGTACGCACTCCCAATAAATTGTCCTTTACATAGACATCTGGCACTCGCCTCGCTGAGATATGTTTTTAATTATGACTTTTTTGAATCGCTCTGGATCGTTGGCAGCGTTTGAATGGAACCGGCTTGTTTAAGGATCTCTGCCCAATTGAGATTGGGCCAAATAAAAAAATTTTCCATTGGCGCCAGAGCGATACAGAATTTCTGGGGTAACAGGGAACAGGGAGTAGGGAGCTGAGAGCCATGCATCAAAGTCCGATGCCTTAATTTATCTCCAAGTTCTGGGACCGCATGCATAATTAACCACTGGGAGCCTTAAATGCGCTCGCCACAAATTCCGCAAATTCCACGGATTGCGCGTGCCAACGATGTCTCCTCTTCATCGTCTGCAGTTCTGGTTGCAATTAATCATCGGGATCATCGGGGGGCGGCAACTGACTGAGTGGCTTCTGTAGCCCATCCAACACATCCATCTCCATTTTTTTCCTTGCAGACTGCCAGCGTGCGAGGAACCTTGGCACGATTATGTTATGTTAGGGCCGCCTGAAAGATTAACTTAATTACATAAAGCACGGTTCATGAATATAAGTTACTTTTTAGGGTGAATTTTGATCCAAGCCGGACCCCCAAAATATACCCTTGAAGGAGTATTGATGAGCATGTAGATGGGGATCGATGGAGCTCTTGAAGCTGCTGCCGGCGCGTACTTTCCATTGGGCGGTTCAAACCGAACAGAACTAAAGATTAAATCTAAGCTTGAAAGAAAGCTACTACGAGGAGAGAGAGTCTAAAGTTAGAGAGCGGGCGGTGATTATACCGTGGTCTGAACTAATCGAAAAAGTAGAATACTAAAGAGATCTTTATTTGAAAAAATTAGAATCATTTCACCGACTAAGCTAGCTAAACTTTTATATATTAAATCCTTTATATATAATACAAGTCCTTGTGATGAAAAGTATGGGATTTCATTTTCGAAACGCACTGTGATCCATAACTGCTGGTATGTAAATATAAATCGATTACGTAGCCAATCTATATTTAGCAGCCAATCATTTCGAGTAAATTATTTTAAGAAAAGCAATAATAATTATTATTTATTCATATGTTTTTTTCACGGCATTTTTTTTTTTTTTTTTTGCACATAAATATTTTTATGTGACACATTTTCGTGTTCCGATTGCAGGCGACAACAATAACATGAGTAGCGTAGGCTCCGGAATTCAATGATGATGATGGAATTGGAAGGTGTGTGATGCTGGATGTGGGGCTGGTCGATATGGTTGGATATGCCTCCTAAATGCTTCTGCTTAAGGGATATCCACTTGACGTTATCGGACAGCAATCATGTGCCATTCCTTTGGATCACGTCAATGCCAAGTTGGCGGCGGCCAAAATATTTGCCTGGAATTTGGAATTCTGCTGTCGTCATGGCTTCTGTTCTGCTTTTCCACCACGTCACGCGACTAGGGGACGCCACCGCCATTTGAGACAATTGAAAGCATTCCACTCTGCGTGTGCTCCCCACATTCAAGTCAATTTAATCCAATTCCAATCGCAATTTTTTGGATAATATGTGTGTTTATTATTTTGCTCCTTTATCGGTGACCCAAAAGTATTGTTGCTTGAGCTCTGTGTCGTGTCCCTTAGTGTGTGGATACATATCAGTTGGATATTATTATTCTATATAGGTTGAAGCTTTTGCTAAAGGTCCTCTCCGTGTGTTGGTGTTGTCGCAATATTCGTCGTCTTCTTGATTTAAACAGAACTTAGCCATTAACTAAATTAAATATAATTTTTTAAAGTAAAATGTACAACAAGCACAAGGTGGCCAGGTTTTTATGGTTGCAACCAATGCCTACTTTTGCTCGGCAAACTTGGCGATCTGCGGATACTTGCTGGACTTAAAATCCACATCCTGCTTGATACGCTCTTTAACACTATTCCGCACAGCATCCGTATAAGAAGCTTGGATGGCAGAATCGTGAGTAATGGATCCGATAACGGCATCAACACTGATCGAGGAATTTGAGGCACTACCACTGGTTCCTCCCAAACCGGCGCTCTGGATGGCTCTTTCCACTCCGTTGGCGATGAGGCACTCGATAGAGGCCGTTGGTTTCTCTGACTGAATAATTTTGCGCCTTTTGGCGGACATGCCCGAGATGTAGGCATCGGAGAAGGGCGGCTGGGGGCGGTTACTCTCCTGTAATAATAAATACATTTTTTAAATGAGTGTTAAATGCGAATTTGTAATGAAGTATCTACCTCAAACTGGGTCTGCAGGTCGCGCGTTATCACAGGCAACCAATCATTGGGGAAACTCATGTGCCACGGCTCCGATCCCACAATCACAGCGGGCAGTTGAGGTGCGGGTGTGCTGTTGCTGCTACTGGTGGCCACTTCAGCCATTTCCACATCTGTGTCTAGAGCTTGCTGTTCCGGCAGCTGCACCTGTGGATTAAAGGCAAGAGGCGGTGGGGCCACGAATGGCTATTGATACATAAGTTTCTGTATAGCTAAGAAATTTAATAAACTTACTTCATCGACAGCTATGGGAGGAGCTGCTTGAAGCTGCGATCGGAGATTGTTCGTATCTTCGCTTGGAGTTGGTGTGGATGTAGATAAAACATCTTGCGGTGGTGCAGCTGAAGTGGTAGATGAAATAGTGGCAGCTTCGCCTGATGATGGGTTGGTCAAGCCTCCAACGGCGGCGACGGCGCTCCCTGCCGAAGCTGTTTGCGCTCCGGCAAAAAGTCTGTCGTTTAAGAAGCTACGAAGCTGCGATCGGAGATTGTTCGTATCGATAGCTGTGGGAGGAGCTGCTTGAACGTCGCGCGGGACCAGGAACTGTAGAGCATCGCCAGTGTTGATGTCGGGAAATATTGGGTCTATGTAGATGCACAGGAATTGCAAGGCTTCGTTACGGAAATCTGGAAGTAAAAATGTATATTATATTTATGTTGTTCAACAATTTAGGTTTAATGTATTTACTTACTGGATCTGATGGGTGCCCTCAGTAGGCTCATTAGCCGCGGCCAGTAGCGATCCGAATTGGTACCTCCAAGACACAATACTAAAACGCTGGAAACTCGCCTGCGGAAAATCTCGAACCTCTCTTTAAGTCTACGCTCGAACTGGGCATCGTCTATTCTTTCGCCTATCTGACTATCAGTCTCACTAAACAGCTCGAAGATATAACCCAGACCGTTGCGCAGAACGTTGCACATCGATTCGCGGGAGTTAAATCTATTTCCCGAAGGTTCATACTGCGGCAGGTAGACAAGGATTTCTCCGAACCATTCCAATGCCCGATCTATGGCCCCAGGGATCGTCTGCTCATTGATGGGGGCTCCGGCGAAAAGACTGTCGTTTAAGAAGCTAAGAAGCTGCGATCGGAGATTGTTCGTATCTTCGCTTGGAGTTGGTGTGGATGTAGATAGAACAGCTTGCGGTGGTGCAGCTGAAGGGGTAGACACAATAGTGGCAGCTTCACCTGATGATGGGTTGGTCGAGCCTCCAACGGCGGCGACGGCGCTTCCTGCCGAAGCTGTTTGCGCATTATTTCTCAGATTATTAAGCAAAAAATTAGCGAATAGGGTGGGAAATTGTCTGGACAGGCGCGCGGTGGCGGTCTGAAGTCTACTCCGCCGGCCGGAGATCAGGCCTCCATTGGTGCTGCCACCACCAACGAGGGCCGTTCGAGCCGCCAGCCGATCGCGACTGATCGGCGATCCTCCCGTGGGCCGCACTCTTCCGGCACCGATTCCGGCCCCATTGGTGCTGCCACCACCAACGTGGGCAGCTTGAGCATGGGAAGTTTGGGTTTGCGCCTGTGCCCATGCTGCCGGCCGGAGGCTGCTCAATTGTTCGCTGGATGGTCGCTGGCGACGCAACGCCCACATTGGGCGGACGGAGACACTGCCGCGCTGGTTGCGACCAGTGGTGACTAAATGATGACATGGATAGAATGGAGATTAATGTCAGAGATGGAGGCCAGTCGATAGTCGAGGTTCAGAGATAGGCTTTTCCAGAGTTCTATGTGAAGGCCAAACACTTCTAATTAATAATGGAAATTATTATTATAGCCACTGCTATCTTTGACTCGATGTACAACAGACAGACGGTTTTCTAAACTAACTACTATAATTTTAAAGACCTCTAATTGAATTGGGAACGGGAATCTCTTGAGGGAATAAATAGTAGTCTCTCAATTAGCATTATTCAAGTTTAATGTTAAGTAATTAAAAGTAAATAACAATTTCTGATCAACTCCTCCTAGAGAAGCCAAAATACACCCTGATTCGACTGTTTCTTGGTATGCAAGGGCTTTTCCATCTCTGGTTGGTGACTGTGCGGATGAAAGGGATTGGTGTGCGAAGTGGGTCATAGTGAGGATCATGGTGGTGAAGTGGTAGTTCGATAGCTAACCCTGGAGGGAAACCGTACTCACCAGAACGAGCTGCTCCGGCTGCTGTTGACGGACCGCCGATGGTTCCTACTGTTGATGGTGTGGTGGTGCCGCGGTTGGTACTTGCACTGTTGATGTTTTGAGGCAACGGCTCTGGTTCCCGAATGTGATGGCTATTGCAAGGCAGGAAGCGGTCGAATGCCGTGTGCGTTGGAGCAATGCGTCCGCCCCAGTTGTTATTTCCTCCAATCTGAATTTGTGGTCTTGATGTGGAACGCGTTTGTGTGGCCGTGGTGGGCAAGGTGTTGGCCCTCTGATCTCCACCGCGAGTTCCGTTCGAAGTTGAAGCTGCATTTGGAGATCGTTCATTTGCAGCTGTAGGAGCACTTTCAGGTGATGATTCAGCAGTTGGAGCAGAAGGTTCCGCTGCTTCTGTAGCCCCGGGTGCTGGTGCCTGACGAACTGCGGCCATCACATGCACAGGCAAGTTAATAGACATGACGTTGGGCGCATTGAATTCAACATGAACATCGTTGGGTCGTTGACCGTTTACCATTGCCTGAATAAATCGAGCCATCTCCAGTTGGGGGTCTGCAAGAAAGCAGGAGTTAGTAAGGATCCATTAAGAGATATGACTGGCAGGGATTGAATAGGTTAAGAGCTGGTCAGTAAACAAGGCAAACAAACAAAAAGTAAGTGGAACGGAACGGAAAATGCTGTGAATGTGCTCTTAGAATTAAGGTTCAACTGCAATGAGCGAAATGAGCTAGGTTTAACCAAACATCCAAAACGTACTGGGCGGTGGCAGGGTCACTGGCACATAGACACGCAGCCTAGGTACTGGTCGGATATCTCTTTCGGGGGTTTCACTTTGATCTTGATTGTGATCGTGATCTATAAAAAACCGTCAACAAAAATTATGGGAATATAAAGGGTGATCAACTACTTAAACAGAAAATTCATTTTTGTGCAACAAATTCTTAATACGAACTTATCGATTAAATCAATATTTTCTACCCTTGTCTTCATTTAATGATCAATCTTCGGAAAAGTTTCTTACCCATTTCGAGTCGTTGTTCCTGTTGTGGTTGTGGTGCTGCGGCAACAGGATTGGGTGCCACCATGGGATCGTCGACGGGATCCTCTACATGGTCGCTTGACAAGCCACGAGCAACTGCGGCTGCAGCGCTAGCAGCTCCAGCGGCCATTTCTGCAGCGGCTCCAGCTGCACGGCTGGCGATCTCCGCCATTGCCGCCGCACTTCGGCTGGCATCGTTAGCAGCCTGCAAATTTGTGGCCTGTGGTGGGGTTACAGCAGTTGGAGTGCCAGCAGTTGTTGGTGTTTGAGTGCCAGCACCGGGGGCTCTGCCACGGAAAGGGTCGTTGAGTAGACCCGGTGGCGGAGCCAAAAAGTTGGGTGTGAAAATGTTATTGGATCGTATGTAACCGCTCTGCTCAACCAAAATGGGTCGGCAGGTAAGCACACGTGGTCCAGGTTGCGACAAGTCCAACATCAAATCCGAAATTGCATGCTGAGCATGCGAGAGGTAATGGAAAGCCTCAGAGACGCGGTCAAAGATGCGTTGAGCATCTTCGCGACCAGTTGTGTCCTAAGAAGGGACATATAAATCGTTAAAATATATTGTCTGTTTGTTTTTAAATAAAGCTAAAGACTTACGCTCTCTTCGAAAGTGGGATCGTTTTGTAGAATATCGTAGTAACGATCCACAAACGGCGCCAGACGTGTCTGTACGGTACGGTAGTGCTGTATAACTTGGGCCAAAACCTGCGGCCGAGTGCGTCGCCTAGGTCCTGAATTATTTGCTCCCTCTGCTGCCGCATCATTTGAAGCTCCATTGGAGGAGCTGGGAGTCTCTGCAGCTGTAACCGACTGACCACCAACTGCTCCTTCCGCCTCCACCTCAGGTGTAGGCGTGGCCGAACGATCTGAAGCACCATCTGCAGCCTCGTCATCTGTTTCGATCACATCCTCAATGATCACAGTGGCCGCTGTAGTTTCACCATTAGCATCAATAGCAGTTCCAGTAGCTGCTTCTTCGCTGGTTCCAGCTTCTCCAGTTTGCTGAGTAGTCTCTCCATTTTCATTGGTATAAACAGTGGGCAGCTGCACTACCGTATAGTTACGGGCTCCAGTTCGCGAAAGCGCTGCGGACACGGCATCTTGGACCATGTCGATGATATTATTGTTGCCCGGCAGGTCCGACGACGATACACCCACTTCGACGACGGTAGATTCCATAGACCAGCGACCACGCTGCAAAATGTCCAAGGATTCATTGTGCAGACCCACGGCGGGGTTTTCCAGATAGGCGGCTATATTGTGGACGCAATCGATCATATGAAGGGCTACGGTGATACGGTTGATGCAAAAGGACGAAGAGTTTGGATAGCGATTTGGGGTAGGACGAGTCTGTCAGATTTGGGTGGTTAAATTGGAAGTTTTTAAGAAATTCAGAAGGTCTTACTCCGGCCACTGGACCATTGTTTACGGGTATGGCCATGGTGCCCACAAGCATCCCGTCGAGGGCGCGGAAGTACGGAGATGTGCGCATTCCGGGCGGCGAAGGTCGAGTAACATTCCGGAATGTGCGCATGGGTTCATCATTGTTACGAGAGTTAGCTCCACGTTGCGAAAAGGGCGGTCGTTCGGCCACATGAAGCACCTTGCCATCGACATCTGGATGTGATAAATTTGTGTACATGATGTAGGTATATCCGACATAAATTGTAACATATGAGGGTGCTCCTGCTGGCATGACTCACCGTACTCTTTCACCTGCTTCTCATCAGCCAGAACTCGGCCCTGGTAGATAATACGCTGGTTTTCAGCCGCTATGTTGGTCTTTTCGGCGATCTGGTCCTTGAACTGGCGGATTGTGAGCTGGAAATGGGCGGGGTATATAGCTTTATAGAAGCCTCTAGACCTGGACACACAACCTCAAACATTACCTCATTGTCGATGCTGAATTCGTGGGTGCGCGCATCTAAGGTTTTTACCTTAAGGTTTATTAGCATTTTCCGGCCGGACTGTGTTGCAAATCTATTGAAAATCTCGTTTTGCTATCGGTTTTCCCCGTACCGTGCAAAAAAACAGTCAAAAAGGGGATCGTTGGCGTAGAGGGGACAGGGGAATCTTGTCGGTGTCGCTGTCACCTGCTCTCTCGCTCACACTCGCTGACGCAGGCCTTTGGTTTTTCCGGACACGTTTTTGCACTGGTCAGTTAGCGGTAAGAACGTATATATCTTAACGGATCTCCGCCTGCTCTCAGATCGGGCAAATGTATGCTGTTTTTACTCAGAAGCGGGCGAACGATTTCACAATTGAACAACAGCGGCAGAGGAAAATAATTACTGGAATTTGACAGTGTGGCAGTGTTGCCAACTCTCAAACTGAAAGATTAATCGAATGCCATATTCTAAATAGCTAAATCTGGTGGTCCTTAAAAATAAAGCTAAATAATTGTAAACATTTTCAATTCTTTTAAATAACAATATATATATGTTTTACATTAGAAAATGATTAGAAAAGTTTATAATTATATTTTCTCAGTAGATAATTGAATGCTAAAAAGCGTTACTTGGCTCAAAGCTTACACCATCTTTTGGATTTTTTGCGATATCTGGCTACAAAATAGATATGCTGGCATCACAACATAGGGAAATGTAAGAATACTAAAATACACCAAAGACGCAAACCAATGTATAAATACTTTAAACGATGTTAGCTCGGACATATACCAACAAGGAACGAACACGTAATCAAAAAGGCAGCACTAAAAACGGTAATTTTGGTTTTTGCGGTACTTTTAAAACCTTTTTTTTGATCGGTGCAACGTTAAATTAACAAAGTTCAGTTTTGTCTATGAAACGGTATAAATATTCTAAATGGTTCTAAATTGGTTCTCTGGGAGGTATCCCACGTTGTTGAAATTAATCGCAACGAGTATGGTCTTGCCTAACCTAACTAACCCAAGTTAACCAAAAAGTGGTTATATCCCTGGAGATTTCCTAGATTTTCGGCGTAAGCAAAATCATGTGGGTAAATGCGAGATGAACCCCATAAAAACGTTTAAAGAACTGCACATGTGTATTACAATTCATGCGCCCAACCTTTGACCCTTAACCCATAGCTAGGAGTAACTCCGCCATCACTGCCTTTGACTGCATCCTGTGGGAATTTTTCGGCACTGCACATGAAAAGCGGCGTTTGAATAATAAAGAAAAGAAAAGAACGAAAAACAGGGGAAAGTCAGCTAAGACGCAAAGGTGTATGTGAAGAGCAACTTTTCCCTTTGAATATTTAAGTGGCGCTGTGGCATCGGTAGTGGAAGTAAAAAAAACAGAAGGAGAAAAGCCAACCCAACCGCAACACCGGGGCTAACACAGTTTTCAGCACACCCCTTGCCGGAATTGTGAGGAAATTTGATTTAATTCTGCGATTGTGAGTCTTTCCACGGGCTCAAAGTGATTGCGACGAGCTCTTATTTCCCGTACTGAAAAGATGCCACGGAAATAGGCCCTGACAGATTGTTGAGTTCACCATTGACTTTGTTGGAATTCGGTTTTATAATATATATGCGTTTTATTTGTCATCTTTTGTCTTACTTAAGCTTCCAATTTAATCTACTAATTAGCTAAAATTAATTCTATTAGGATCATTTGCCTACATTTGCCCTAAAATATGGGTTATGCTTGGCCTGAAAATATAAGTAATAATTATTATAAATTTTCACCGAGTTTTGCTCGGGCCAAGTGCAAGTTTTACAATTTACAAATTGCTTTTAAATGGGCTGTGAAAAAGTTTTAATGAGTTTTCCACGCAGCCGTCCTACATCTAAGCACTCTGTACATTCCGCCCACCGCCCTGTCAACGATTTCTGTTTATGCATTTTCATTTTCATTATCATTTTCCCTCGTTTTTATTTTCATTTTTTTGGCGACCAGTACTGCCCTCTCGTTTTCCGCTTTCCATTTGTTATTAAGCGGGAGCTTTCCGTTATTTTTATTCCTTCTTTTTTTGCACCAAAAGTTTTCCCTGTCACAGTGGGTGGGCGACGGGCGTGGCCCGAACATTGAAAATGTTCTTTGTCAAGGGGGTAGGGCAAAGGTCGCCTAATGAAATTATATCAATCGGGCAGATCAGCCACCCTTAAGTCGCTGTGCCTGGCAGCTGGCAAATGACATTTACTTTTTCCAATTGTTCATATTTTCATTAAGCAACATTTGAATTTTCCCCAATGTAACCTGCAATTTAGTTTCACTTCAGAATCAGATTCCAGACCGAGTTTTGCGCCCCACAATGCATGATTCCATTTCTAATTTCGGTCTGGTCAAGAACAGGGCCCAAGAGCAAGTCTCACGTCAAATTAAATCAAGCTGTAATATAAAGAAAATTGAAGCCAAGTCCCATTTGTGCCATAAAGCATGGAGAGCCAAAGAGTATTCCAAAGGGGGAGGAATGGTTCTGTCCTTGGGATGGCGGTAGGTGGTTTCCACAGCTGATTGGCAATATAACACCGAGGAGTCTCAGCATTCAGGGCGGAATTCAACCCGTGTGCTAGTGTTTCAGATTCATAAGAAAATTGTGTTATTAATAATATATATTTTTAGAGAAACAGTTTTCAGACACCTTTAAGCAGGATTCCGTTTTAAGGCGTAACATGATTAAAAGACCCAAAGAACATACGGACACCCAGTCGGAGTTTTCCGGTGGCCACTTGTAATTGCCAGTAAATAATTTGACCTGTCAAATAGCAACTGCACTGGCCTCATAAATACAACCGCCAACTAACCGTGCCAATTTATAGTCAACACTTAATCTAAGCTGTCAATGTGGTTGCAACAACAGTGGTGAGAGCAACAACAATACAAGTTTTTTTTGGGGCGTCAGGGGGTTAGGTGGAGAACTACCAGTAGTAGTATCGTAATTGGCGGGGATTACGACAAAACGTAAAAGTGCAGAACGGCATGTGAATGCGGAAGTTGAGCTCGGAATTGGCCAAAGTGAAGAAGTCGTAAAGTTTTAGTTGCATTCTGCCGTCTTCGCCTTCGAATTGGACGCTTAATTTATGTTTCAATTCCAATTAGCCAACGAGGCGCGGGCTTTTATGCTACATTTCGTTCTTTTCCCTCTTAAATGCACTGGGAAAAATGCATTATTATCCATGGAATTTTATAATTAAACTAAATGGGAATTTGATGTATTGTATCAATTACATGCCTTTAATTAAATGTTGTCATTGAACGTTCAAATATTAATTTAAAATTTCGAAAAATAATATAGGGCAAGGATGAGTCAATTTCTTTCTGTACTCTCTGGTAATTGACTTTCGGCCTGGCCCTGACGCGTCATTTGTAATTGTATATCAGCACGAGGAGCAAGGACGAGAGCTGCGTTTATTAGCCATGGCCAAATGCAGCTAATTGAAGTTCAAATTGCGTTGGCGCATGAGTTGAAATGGCAAAGGAAACCGTTGAAATGTAAGCACTCACATGTGATTCCTGTCGGTTCAATAAAACGTTAAGTTCTGTCAGACGACAATGCAGACGTAAACGAAGACGAATCCACTTAAGGCCAAAGCGAAAAAAAGAAGAAAAATGTATATAATGGTGAAAGCCAATTCAACACTCAAACACAATCAGCAAAGAAAAGCGGAGTCGAAAAGTTGCTGGGGAAATAAAATCAAGCATAAATGCAATAATACAATTTATGTGCCGAATTTCATAAGGACCATAATGGACACACACGCGCACACACTCCTCGCTTCTTAATCCCCACAATAACGATATGTGTATCGAGTGGAGCCAACAAAGGTGACTCTCTCAAGTTGGCCAGCAATCGCCGTAATCGTAATCACATTTGCCGCCGAGATGTTGATGCTATTTGTGAGTGTGTGTCATTTTCATTGCGAAAAAGTTGTTTTATTTTTCCTCTGATGTTCAAGGCAACAATGTCCCCAACACTTGCCAACCGGACATCCGCTCCATACAGCCATCCATCCATCTCTCCATCCATCTTACCAATCTCTGTCTCTTTTGGCAAGTTAACAACATTTGCTTGACGTCTGCCAATTGCATTATGACTCAATTGTGAGCTGAACGATTTTACGGACCAGTCAAAGAATCAAAGAGCAGCATTCGGCATCAATGAGGCAACTTCAACTTGAGTGTCGGTCCATTGAGAAAGAAACAGAAACGGAAATGGAAACTGAGAACTATAAAGTGGAACTGGAGCTCAGGTCGTCCAAGTTTAGTTTCAAAACTCTCCTTTATATTAAGTATAGAATATTAATAACAAGATGTTTCACTCGATTATCTTTTGGATATAAATATTTTCTAACTTACGGCTTATTAGATATCTTTAAGTATCTGAATATATAATGATCGCTTACATGCTTCATTGTTATCACTGTTAATGTGTAAAGATACAAATATATCCCCATTGTCATGGATATCTTCATGAGAAGCCTTAACACCACGGGTAAAAGGCTTGAAGTGCTTGAACAGATGGAACAGAAAATGCATTAACAATTTGGCGGCGCCGTTAATGCATCTCAGTTGGGCCATAAATTGCGCTGGCCGCAATATGTTTGGGCCACTTGATGGCCCTTCAGCGGTGAATTGTAAGTTGCCATCAACGGCAGTCAGGCCGAATCCGTGGAATGTGGAGCAAGTGCGGCACAAGTGCAGAGACCTTAGCTTATTCCGGGCATTATGCAATGGCAATAGGCCAAAGTCTTGGGCTATTTTAACTGGGTCGACGACACGCCCTTCTCCGGTTTGTCTTTATAGATATATATCTTCGGGTATGTATGGTCACCCCCACTGCCTTTTGCGGCTGTCACTTGGAGCTGGGCAATTGTAAATTGATTTGCCACGATCGAGGGATAGAGAAATGGATTTCTGAAAGTCACGCAAAGCCAGACGGCAAGGCTGAAACGAGTTTGAGGAGTGCGCCCGATTATGAGTAATTGCAATTGCGGCGGTCAGGTCTTCTATATATGGCCCAACCACGGTCTTATCCAGCACAGTTGTTCCAATTGCTTCAATAGACATGGCTCACTTCCAGTTCCTCAGCGTTGCCTCCAGTTTGCTGCTTCTCCTGACTCCCACCTGGGCGGGATTGATTAATTACGCAACTGATGAGCACGCCGTGGCCCACACCCAACAGAATGTGGTGAGGAGCTTCGATGGCACCGTTTCCCACTATGCCAAGTCGGTGGCCACACCCTATTCACAGGTTCACAAACAGGACACTCGGATCAGCAACAATGTGTATCAGCCGGCGGTGGCCAAGACCTTCAGCTATGCCCCAGCACCAGTTCCAGTCTCGATCCCAGCTCCGGTTTACAGCCAACATGCTCAGCCAGAGCCATCACATTTGTTCACCCAGGCATCGCCGGTATACCACCAGTCTGCTCATGACCAGGCTCCAGCGGTTTACCAACAAGAAGCTCATGTTCAGGCTCCAGCGGAGTACCACCAGGCTGCTCATATCCAAACCCCATCGGTTTACCATCAGCCCGCTCAGGTGCAGTCTCCTTCCGTCTATCACCAATCTGCCCATGTGGAGACACCTTCGGTCTATCATCAGCCCGCCCACTACAGTCACCAGCCCGCTGTCATCCAATACTCCCCGGCTGAGACCGTATCACACATGACCTTCGATGGTTTCGGTACCCACTACGGTTTCTAAGTTTAGTCAATAACCTTGTGTATACTTATTAAATAAAATGTTTAACAAAAATCGTTGAAAGTCATAAAGAAAAAGTTTGTTGATAAGTATTTGTTGCCCTTTTTGCTTTTCCCATAATCATCCTTGCATTATGTCTTGTGCATTTGGCCAAAGGCATCATGGACATGATTTTCTTGTCCTGCCTGCGGTTTACTCCCTGCTTATCACTCACGTTCGGAGGCAGCGTAAACAAATCATAAAAATCCACAGAAAGTGCACCCAACAAATAGCCCCAAGTAGGACATTAGCTTTGGTCCTTACACCAGTCCGTGATTCTTACTTCAGCAGTGAATGGGAATGCAGAGGGGTTACGTGATTTGTGCAGCACAAACTTAAAAATCGGACATGGATGCTACGTGACTCGCCTGGCAAGTAAAGGAGCCAGGAACCAAGAGACAGGAGCCATTCGAAAGGACGAAGGACCATCAACTGGCATGGCTTATGAACTAATAAGATTTTCCCCATCCTCGTAAATTATGCACATTGACAATTCTAATCGGAAAATTGAAATCAGATTTTTGCAGGCTCATTAATTTTGCAAAAGAAAAGAAAAACTTATGAGAAGCCCCTGAAGCTAATCGAAAACTCTCAAAAGGCCGGAGTCAATAATCAATTTGTGTTCTTCGTTTTTTCTCTTCATAGTTTCTCTAAATGATAGCTTCATTAGCTGGCCATCAAAGTAATGGCCAAAATGATTACCAGAATAGGGCCAGCAACTTCTGGAGTGAACTTCTGAATTGAAAAACTAAATAAAAAGGCAAGAATTTGCAAAAATGAAGCCATAAACTCCGCTTAGTCCGGCATCCTGCAGGACCTGCCGCTTTTCTCCCCCCTTTCTGAACCACCACTTCTGTCCGCCACTTGAGTGCTAAAAGGCGCAATGATAAAATATTTGCCCGACCAAGGCAAGTAAATTTGTTGGCTAAAAAGTTGAAACAGCTAACAAAAAGTGAGCGATGAAGAAAGGCCCAGCCGCTAGTTGTTGTTTTTATTTAGCTGTTGCGGTTAAAGTTTTCCCACTTTCGCCAGAACCTCGTCCAGCAAGAGGATGTTGGCAAAATATAAAATAAAAATGCAAAATGCAAAATGCCCAGCAAGACGTATTTATCAACATAATTACATTTTTTTAATGGCCCTTTAAGCCGCAAAATGGCAAAGCCGCAATGCAAGATAAAGGCATGGCGAGAAATTCTTAAAAAAAGCTGCAAACTTGCTTAGCCATCTCCATTCTTTGGCCTTCCTTAGCCCTAGATATTATTAACTCAATTTGGCTTGCCTTATCACTAAAAATTTTTGAATAAAGCTACTAAAATTTTCCCCTTTTAAACATATTTTAATTTTAAATAGAAATTGTTTGCATGTTGATATTCAGATTGTGTTTGCCCTTGAAAGTTTTTAAATACTTTTTGCATGATTTTCAAATCCATTGCTTATATCTGTCCATATCGCAGAGATTTTCATTGTAAGAGAACGAAGAGAGAGTAGGTAAGTAAGAGTATTTGCTCTTTGCCCTAACTGTTGCAAATTAAATGTTAAAATTGCAGCAGAAGCAATGCAGTTTCCAGCTCTCTTATAAAACAGGTTTTGGAGATAATAAAATCTGTTTTATTAACATAGCAAATACGTTGCTTTTACTGTTTATTTTAATTCAACAGAATTTTCTATGGAAACGATTAATATATTTTATATTTCATAGCTGGCTTATCAGTTTTTTCGGATTGTTAAGCAGAATAATGATGTGCTATCAATTCTCTGGAAATTGTTAATGCTAAAAAAAATCATAATACTTACATTTCGACGTTTTATAAAATTTAGTTCATCTCCCCAAAAACATAATTATTATTCATTAACAACAACCAAATGATTGTTGTTTTGTCTTCCGACTATGTCATGCCTACGTCAAAAACAGCTCACTCATTGGATTTTATTATGAATTAATTGATATGGACTATTCCCAAGACTTTTATCTGCATTAAAATGTAAGAGTTTTGCTTTGTAAATTCTCAAACATAAGTCAGTCCAAAATAGCAACATGTTGCGAGTAGTTCTTTTCCCTTTCGTAGTGATAGCTGCCGCGAGTTCTTTAAATTCCAAAACTAGTTCCCTAAACTTGAACGATTACTACAGCTACTATGAAATGGAAGAGTATCTAAAAACTCTGAGCAATACCTACAGAAATGTAGAACTTCAAGGGATTAGTAAAACCGCTGAGAATCGATCGGTTTATTTGGTGAAAATAACATCTCGTCAGGATCATATTTGTCCGGTACCAAAGAAAGTGATTCTAATGGATGCGGCCATAGAAGGAAACGATTGGATCACCACCTCCGTGGCTCTCAAGACTATTCATGAGTTGGTGGTGAATTATGAAGAGAATATAAAGTTGCTGGAGCGCTTCGACTGGTACATCCTGCCCATGGTCAATCCAGATGGGTATCAATTCTCTAGACAACCTCTGTTTTTACATTGGAAGAAAAATCGTTCTCCGAATGGTCAGTACTTTGGCACCAATTTAAATCAAAACTTCGCTTCGAACTGGAATAAGTTGTATTCTAAGCATTCCTCACCCTGGAGCCAGAATTTTATTGGGAACAACCCATTTTCGGAACTGGAATCTAATATTATCGGAAGTCTAATGACAAATCTGCTTAAAGAGAAGAAAGCCTTCCTTTACATAACCCTTCATACTTCAACAGCACCGTCTGTTTTTTATCCCGAGCCATTCGAATTGTAAGTCCGCAAAGAAGTCAAATTTTATACTTTTTATTAAACTCTTTAATGTCTTCAGGTCTCCCACGAAACAAATTGAGATGTCCAAGAATATAGCCTTTTACGGCAGTAAAATGATATTTGAAAAAGCGAAGCCCTATTATGCGCACATCCCACCCAAGGAATTCAGAAGATTGGGTGGTACCAGTCTGGACTACGCTTACGAACAGGGCATCCCTCTAACTTTCTCAATCGCTCTGTTTGAAGAGCATTTATATTCCTCAATGCGTTATTTCGATAACCGGGCCATCGTGGGTTGGAATGGAGTGTTTGGCCTGGTCGAAGGTGCCGTAAAGTATGGTTGTAATTCTCCTTTGGAAGACAAATGCAAGTGTCTTCAGGAGGAAGACGAAGAGGAGGAGGAAGAAGAAAAGGAAGATAAGAAGGAGAAAACTGGCGATGAGTTCAAAGTCCTATTCATACATTCAGAATCCAATAATTCCAGTAAATCTTCAGGTTCAGCCAAACTAACTACCCCTTTGGCCGTTTTTAGCCTATGTTTACTGTATCATATCGAAGTAATTGGATTATTTTTTAAATATCTATTATCTTATCAATCAGCTTTTAGAGAAACGATTTAAAACTTAAACTGAACAAGAACTTTCACTCTTTTGTGATATCTATAACTTTGTAGCAAATTTTCTAATTAAGAGATAGCTAAACTAAGGGAGAAGAATAATTTGCTCTCTTCGACTTTTAATTTAATATTACATTTTAATTTATTTATTTATTTCTAGATTAAAGTAAAGCGATGTAAAATAAAATTTACATATAAAAACTCTACTTAAGCTCTTAGGATTTTATTTTTGTTGACGATTATATTAATCATGCTAATGCTAAGAGTCATTCGCTGCTCTGGTAGAAACCCATCGATAGGTTCTCTCGCAGCTATAGCTATATATTAAAGTTCTATAATCGGTCAGGTTCAGTTCAATGTTTATTGGCTCTCTGACAAGATGTGTAAAGCTCTGTACGCGATCATCTTTCTCGCGGCGATTGTGAGTCCGCTGGCGGAGTCAGGTCGCATCCGAAAGCGAAACATTCCCAAGCTAAAATTGGGTGTCTACCCCACGTATAACGAAGTTCTGGAGTATTTAAATCAGTTGGCCTTAACTTATTCTGATCGGGTGACTCTAAAGGATGTGGGACGCTCTTACGAAGGTAGATCCCTGACAGTTGCAATGATAACGAACGGAGATGGAAGACCGGGCAAGAGAGTGATATTCCTGGATGCCGCTCTGCACTCTCGCGAGTGGATGACCCCCATCACTGCCCTATATGTAATCCAAAAACTGGTAGTGGAGTTCGAGGATAACTCCGATCTTCTAAGAGATTTCGATTGGCACATTATGCCATTGGCGAATCCAGATGGCTATGAATATTCCCGGAATATGAACCGCTATTGGAGAAACACGAGGACACCGAATGGCAGAGGGTGTATTGGGACCAATCTCAATCGGAACTTTGAAGTTGGTTGGGGAGTTGGTTTTCCGGAATTAAGAGATCCCTGTGATGAGAATTACGCGGGAAGTGCACCATTCTCTGAGGTTGAGGCCCGTACAGTCCGCGACATAATGCACAGCCTGGTGGAAAGTAATCGTGCTGCCATGTATCTCTCCCTGCACACGGCAAACCGTTCAGTTTTCTATCCTTGGGTCTATGACACGTGAGTTAACGATAAACAGCTGAGGATCTAAAGAGATTCTTGTTCTTGGTTAATGTTTAAACATTTTTATTTCCAATCTTTTATTTACTTTGCAGCGCTCCTGTTCCGAACAAGGAAGAACATGATGAAATCGCCAAGTTCGTGAGCCGCAAAATACTTGAAAGTACGGGCACGGTCATCAAGCCGCGGCAGGCTTCACAATACGCCGGAGCTTTTGGCGGGACCAGCATGGATTACGCATACCACGCGGGCTTCCCTTTATCCTTTGTCTTCGAGATGTCGGGAACGGGCAGGAATGGTATGGAGTACAAGTTCTTCCCTCCAGTTTCGGAGATTCGTTACTTGGCTGACGAATCGTGGACGGGAATAAGAGCGTTTGCCGAGAAGGTGATTGAGTTATATCCGCCTTCAAGGCAGGTACTTTATTCCCAAAAACTTATGCTGACCGGAAGTGCAGCTCCACAAAGTAGGGTCTTAGACTCAAAGCTTGGAGCAGTCATTTTGTTTTTCGCATATTTTATCAACAATATTTGAAGTTGAAGGAACCAAATAACTCGAACATATAAACCGAACTAGTTACAAACTAGATTATTATTTTTTTGAGTTGAACTAGTCAACTAGCAAACTCAAATTCATCTCGTTAATAATCAACCTTGCAGCTTTTTCATAAATATTTAACACATAAACAATACTTTGTATCTTTTACTCGGGTCACACTTGAGCAAGTTTGTTGATAAGGTTTTGTTGGGACTTTTATATTTAATTTAATATTTTTAATTTTTTTTTATGTGTAGATTAAAGTAGCCAAATTGGTACTGGTACTGGTAGGGAAAATCTTTATAAATTAACTTTATATTAAATTTCAATTTATTTTTTGAATTATTTATATTTTTCCATATTGAGCTGCGCTTCCACAGAAAATTTTATTAATCATGGTAATGGTAACGACCGCACTGGCAGAAATCCACCGATAAGCTATCTCTATGTATATATATAAATATATTTTATATATAAGTATATAAGTTTTATAGTCGGTCAGATTTAGTACAGTGTCTATTGCCTCTCTGACAAGATGCGTAGAGCTCTGTGCGCGATCATCTTTCTCGCGGCGATTGTGAATCCGCTGGCGGAGGCAGGTCGCATCCTTAAGCAGAACTTTCCCAAGCTGAAACTGGATGACTACACCACGTATAACGAAGTCATGGAGTATCTGAATCAGTTGGCCTTAACTTATTCAGATCGGGTGACTCTAAAGGATATGGGACGCACCTACGAGAGTAGATCCCTGGTAGTTGCCATCATAACGAACGGAGATGGAAGACCAGGCAAGAGGGTTATTTTCTTGGATGCCGCTCTGCATGCTCGCGAGTGGATGACCCCCATCACTGCCCTCTATGTAATCCAAAAACTGGTAGTGGAGTTCGAGGATAACTCCGATCTTCTAAAAGATTTCGATTGGCACATTATGCCATTGGCGAATCCAGATGGCTATGAATTTTCCCGGAATACAGAACGATATTGGAGAAACACAAGGACACCGAATGGCGGATTGTGTTTCGGTACTAATCTCAATCGCAACTTCGACGTGGGCTGGGGAATTGGTTTTCCAAATCTTAAAGACCCTTGTCATGAGAGCTATGCTGGAAGTGCACCATTCTCTGAGGTTGAGGCACGTACAGTCCGCGACATAATGCACAACCTGGTGGAAAGTAAACGCGCTACTATGTACCTCTCCCTGCACACGGCAAACCGAACGGTTTTTTATCCTTGGGTCTATGATACGTGAGTTAAAGAGTACAATTTATATATCAGTAGAACTGAAAAAGATAACCAAAAGAAGATCGATAGAAGATGTGGTTCTCGGTTAATTTATAATTATTATTATTAATTATATGTTCTCTCCGTAGTGCTCCAGTACCGAATCAAGAAGAACATAAAGAAGTCGCCAAGTACGTGAGCCAGAGGGTATTGGAGAGAACTGGGTCGGTCATTAGGTCAATGCAGGCATCAGAATATTTTATAACATTTGGTGGAACGAGCATGGATTACGCATACCACGTGGGTTTCCCTTTATCCTTTGTCTTCGAGCTGTCGGGTACGGGACGCGATCATGTGGAGTACATGTTCTTCCCTCCAACCAGCGAGATTCCCCGTATTGTTGAAGAATCATGGACAGGAATTCGAGCGTTTGCCGAAAAGGTCATTGAGTTATATCCGCCTTCACGCCAGATACATTATTCCGAAAAACGTAAGCTGGCCGAAAATGCAGCTCCACAAAGTAGGGGATGAGACTCAAAGCTGGCAGCAGTCATCTTGATTTTCACATATTTTATCAACAATATTTGAAGTTGAAGGAACCAACTATCTTGATTGTAAAAGAATATATATTTCATTCATGAATATTTATACATCTAGAATATTATGCCTTCTTTGTTCGCGTGTCTTGCACAAATATCAGATTCTCTTTTCAACTCTTTAAAATAAGTTTAATATCCAGCATCGGATGCCCCATCCACCGACCACTCATTTATCGCGTACTCTCTTGCATTACCCATACGCCTCGTTGTCTGCTTGTTTGCACATGCTATCAACGTGACTTGGCTGCTTCGCTGGCGTGGAAAAGGGCAGGGCTTTTTGGCGGTGGAGGAATCCGCATATCACTCGCATTGTCCGATACATTTCACATGCTGCAATTAACGCAACAAATTGCATTTTTAATATGCAAAATTAATGCAGAAAATCTTTCTGTGCTCGGCGCAAGCAAACAGAAATGAAACGAAAGGCGCGAAGGCACGATATATCCAAGCTTTTTTATTTATAACAGTCATTGTGAAAATTGAAAATCCACATTCGGTCTACAATTAAAAACACTTTTCGTCTGCATCTCCATGTTCGCCGACAGTCGTCGGTCCGCATTGGATATTGTGAGTATTTAAAATAATAATAAAACCCCATTACAAAGTCAAAGTTGCCTGGCCCAGGAAGCCGGTGTTAATTAGTTTTTTCGAAGGCAGCTCTCTGGCCAGCTGATGAATCCACTCCAGCCATCTATCTGTCCATCTAGCCATTCTGCGCTGGAGTTGGGTCAAATGTTTTAATTTCCGCACGAATGTCTCTAACGGAAATTACTTGAAAAAAAACAAAAAAAATAAAAATAAAAATCACAAATAAGTTTACCCTCCATGGCGGGTGTCAATTGCCTGGAGAGCCACTGTTTATCATGCCGATGGGCTGGCAATAATTACTATAAATACACGTACTTAATAAACCCCCGCACTGGCTCTGGCATAAAATAGTCTTCGCTGATTAGCGCGATTATCGCTCTTAAAGCTACAGCAACTGCACTTTGAGTTACATTTGAATGCGAAACCGAATACGATTAGATATACTCTCGTTTCACTCGATCGGCTTTGCTGGGTTCTAGTCGGAGATTCAGAGTGCAAAATGTTGCTGTTCTTGCTGGTTGTGCTCATTCTGGCCGCGGGCTGGTTCATTCATCTCGGCCAGGCCGATCGCCGGCGGAAAGTGGCCAATTTGCCGGGACCGCTGTGTCCGCCGCTCATTGGCGCCCTGCACCTCATGTTCCGCTTGAACCCAAAAAGTAAGTTAATATTAATGAAGTAAGGAAACACTTATATTAGGTTTTTTATATAATAATAATATAAAAAGTCATTAAAGTATTCAAATTTTAAGAAAATAAGTGTATATCTTTAATCCAAAAAATATAAGTTATAATAATGATTCCGAAAATTCAATAAAATAATGAAGTTTCCAAAACGCAATCCAAGTTAACAGGCAAATGGGGAATAGAGACAAGCAAATTACCCAATTATCTTGTATATTCTAAATTTAATCTTATTAATTTAAATTAAATAAATCCCAAAAACCAGTAATTATTTTAGATTGATTGGCATTGACTTGAAAATGTGTTGAACTTAATGTAATGCAATGTAAATTCATCAGTTCAGCTTTTTACTGACTCATCTCTGAAAGCTTGAAAGCTGTTCGTGACTGCTTCTGTTTTCACGCTACTGATAAGAAATTTCGAGTATTCAATTCATTTTTTTCTCAAATAATTATGTATGCAAAATTAAAATAATGCTCTCTCTGTTTGCTGAATGGAAATCTCTCCGTTGAAAATTGTGCTGAAATTAATTCTCTCCGTTGAAAATTATTATAATGAAGTATAAATAAGCAGTTGTAGTAAATTTTAAAATCATATTTGCATAGATTACTCAACTCTAACCCTGAATGTGACTTATTAAAAGTCGAGCGGTCTTTTTAAATAACTTGCTTAAAAGTAAAAGTAAATGTTCAACAAAAGTTGACGTAGACATAAAAGTTCACTTTAAAAAAGTGTTATCGAAAAACTGTGCACCTATTATTATCAACCAATTTTATTAATACTAATATACTTAAATTAGTATAGGTAAACTCAAGCACTAAGCATTTTAAACACAATCTCAAGCTAATAATACAACGTTGTTTTGGTCAAACATTAGACGGAGATTACTTAGAAATCAACTGCATTATCGCTAAACCATTTATGAATGGCCATTAACCATAAAAAGAATTAAGCTCTTATCAATGCGAATTTTAAGCAGAGAAGATAATATTTAGTCTTAATTTAAAATAATACAGTATACTAACAAGTTAGGTATTACAATTTTTGTTAAAGCTCTCTAATGCCTATATTTTACAGCCTTTATCAAAGTGGGTAAAGAGTATGTGACCAAATACGGCCACCTCCAGAGAGTGTGGGTCTTCAATCGCCTGCTGATAATGAGTGGTGATCCGGAGTTGAACGAACATCTGCTCAGCAGCCAGGAGCATCTGGTGAAGCATCCGGTGTACAAGGTACTTGGTCAATGGTTGGGTAATGGATTACTTCTTAGTGATGGAAAAGTGTGGCATCAACGACGCAAGATCATCACCCCAACCTTCCATTTCTCGATCCTGGAACAGTTTGTGGAGGTATTCGATCAGCAATCTAACATTTGTGTCCAAAGATTGGCGCAGAAGGCCAATGGAGAGACTTTCGATGTTTACAGGACCATTTGTGCAGCTGCATTGGACATAATAGCCGAAACAGCTATGGGCACGAAAATATATGCCCAGGCCAACGAGAGCACACCTTACGCAGAGGCAGTGAATGAGTAAGATTTTCTTCAAATTTAAAACAATTCAAAAAAAGTTGACATGACTTTTTTTGGTTCCTTTGATCGTAGTGTGCCCGTTCTTAGATCTTACACTTAATCCTTTCTCATAGCTTTTTAATCTTAGTTCAACTTAGTTTAGCATTGTTCTGGAACAGTAAAATTGAAACATTAATGCGAAAGTTCAGACTTTGTAAATAATATTACTTTTAAATAGTTACAGCGATCATTATGTTATAGAATACAGTGCTAACAATAATCATATTTATTTTTAAGATGCACTGCCTTGCTGAGTTGGCGATTCATGTCCGTCTACCTCCAAGTGGAGCTGCTGTTTACCCTCACCCATCCTCACCTGAAATGGCGTCAGACCCAACTGATTCGCACAATGCAAGAGTTCACCATCAAGGTGATCGAACAACGTCGTCAAGCCTTGGAGGATCGTCAGAAGCAATCCAGGCTGACGGAAACCGTAGATGAAGATGTCGGTTCCAAACGGCGAATGGCTCTATTGGATGTCCTGCTGATGGCCACTGTTGATGGAAAACCCCTGACCAACGATGAGATCCGTGAAGAGGTGGATACTTTCATGTTCGAGGGCCACGATACCACCACCAGTGCCTTGTCCTTTTGCTTGCATGAGCTTTCACGGCATCCGGAAGTCCAGGAAAAGATGCTGGAGGAGATTCTACGAGTTCTGGGCACTGATCGAAGCAGGCCAGTTAATATTCGGGATCTCGGAGAGCTTAAGTATATGGAGTGCGTCATCAAGGAGTCCTTGAGAATGTATCCACCTGTGCCCATTGTGGGACGAAAACTTCAGACTGATTTAAAATACAGTAAGTGTTCCTGGGAACCTTGACTTACTGAAATTTACCTAACGATTATATCGCTTCTAGCTAATTCTGTGTATGGAGATGGAGTAATACCAGCGGGTTCCGAGATTATAATCGGAATCTTTGGAGTCCATCGGCAACCGGAAACCTTTCCCAATCCAGATGAATTCATACCAGAGCGTCACCAAGATGGAAGTCGAGTGGCTCCCTTTAAAATGATTCCTTTTAGTGCCGGACCCCGAAATTGTATAGGCCAGAAGTTCGCTCAGCTGGAGATGAAGATGATGCTGGCCAAGATTGTGAGGGAGTACGAGCTGCTACCGCTGGGTAAACGGGTCGAGTGCATCGTAAACATTGTCTTGCGATCGGATACGGGCTTTCAGTTGGGAATGCGGAAGCGCAATAATATATGAATGTTAGGGATTCTGACAAGGTAAAATAATTTGAAATGAAAAAATATAATATTTTATGTAGTATTATCTTGAAAACGTATAATTTAGTGAATGATAATTAAATAATGAACTTAATCCTAGTTATTAAGGGCAAAATTAAACAATTTTTTGTTTCTCTATTTAAAACTTCTTGATTTCGATAAGACTTATAATTTACAGAGCCATTCTTAGCGTGGCTTTAAAGCCAACTGAAAGCCATTTGATGATCCCAAAATTAATCTCAAATCCAAACGCATCTCATCTCCGTAAGGTAATAGTTCAAAGTTGGTTAAAATGGGAGCTAGCAGAGTTTTTAGTAGCTGTATACTAAACTTCCTGGCTGGACAGCACCGAGGACCAAGACTGAAACTCAGGAGTTCCGGAGAAGAGTTCAGAAATCGTTCCGCTTCGAAGTGGTTAGCTTTGGGATAACGTTTCTCATTACGCTGTAGTTCATAGAGATTGATATAGATCTCAGAGCCAAAGGGTAAAGCTCCATCTCCTACGATACTGTGCGCTGTTCAGAATCGAATTAAGATATATATATTAAAAGAAATGTATAGGATTATTACTCATACGCACTGTAGGGAAAATCCTGTTTAAGATGCCGGCCAACAATCACTTGTGGTGGATAGAGTCGCATAGTTTCCTGCAGAACTGATTCAAGAAAAGAGAGCTTTTCCAAGTCCCACCCTTGGTCCTTGTTTTGAGCAAGTTCTAATTCCTCGAAGCACCTTTGTTGTGCCGATGGATTCCTAGCAATCGTGACAAGGCTGAAGGAGAGTGCTGAACTGCAGAGCAGATAGCCCAAATAGTTACAGGTATTCAGCTCTCCACAAACTTCTTCTGTAACAAGTTTGGGATCATTACTTTCCAGGAGAATCTCTAACAGGCTTTCGTGATATTTCTGAGGTAGTGGCCTTAAGTTATCCATGGCCAAGCCATCGCCAATTTTTAAGTCCTTTTGTTTTTGGTATTTAACCATCAAATCCTTGTGTTCCTCGTTCAGTCTTTTAATTAAACGATTCTGACGTCTTCTCATAAAAGGCGAACTGAGCCAATAGTTGAATCTATTGGCAGACTGAAGGCTTAGAAAACGTTTTCTATAGAGCTCTGATAAGCTGGAAAGGGCAGAAAAAAGATTTTTATTAGCTTATAAGTTAGTTCCTATAGAAACTTACTCTCTTAGGTTCTTTGAGTATTCCGCACTGGGTCTTGCACCACAGGTAATCATCACCATCAGTTCCAAGACATGGGGATTGACCATTTCCCAGACATCAAATACCTTTTGGTCGGTATGTTCCACCAACTTTTGCTGCAGTTGCTCCGCCTGCTGGCGACATAATTCCATCAGTTGTTCCAAGTTTCCCTTGCCAAAGAGTCCACTTATTAGAGTATGTCGTTTGTTCCACTGATCCGGCTGACTCATGAGAACACCTCCACCCAACCAGTCCTTCATAAGCTCATAGCCCGTCTCTAGGTGCGTTTCGCTTTCCAGAAGCTGCCTGCTGAGCTCCAAGTCCGCAAGTGGGATAAAAAGCCGATGAAAGACCCAACAACGACTCAAGGTCCCATATTGTGAAAGATATTCGGCACTTTGCTTAAAGAAATCTACAAGAATTAGTTTGAAATCGTTAACTGTTTCTATAACAACCAACTTTTTGGCTTCAGGAAAAGCAGCTTGTGTATCGCCCCCAGCAGTGGCCAAGTGAAGGGTCCTTTGAGATTCTTGATCAGCGACCGCTGCCTTCTGGTCCTGAAATAGTTAAAGGCCGAGGCCAGGCAGAAGCACACGAATGTGGTGGTCAAGATCATGGTTCCGACTGAGCCAAAACACCACCCTGGCTTGTCTATGCTAATCGCAACGTATCGCAATCGCCTGCATCTATACGCTCCGCGGTTTATTGCCGTTCGAGGGGCAGTGCTAATCTCACGGGGGCCTTAAATTTCATGTAATCTTATCGATGTCAAGACCCCCTTGTATGTCAGAAAATAAACCAATGATAGCTTAAATCTCCGGATAAGTTGAGGTTAGTCTAATATAGCATTCTTTTGCTTTGAATACCAGAAATAACTAATTTAATAACTTTAAAATATTTTTATTATATTTACTTTGATAAGGGAAACATTTTCTATGAAACAAAAATATTTTGGGATTTTATTTATTTTTCCAATAAAAAACTTAAACTTATTATTTTATAGATATAAATATTCTTGCTAAGAAATAATTTATTGGTTAAATTTCTTTAACATATTTGTTGTTGGCAACATAAGATCCACAGAATGTTGTTAAAGGGCTTGGCAACATGTTGCTACGATGATATACAAACATACAAACGTATATTGGAAAAAAGTATTTTATTATTATATAATACTTATTTATTTAATATTTTTCCTTTAAAAATACAAATGTTGCCTAAGAATATGTTGCTTTTTTATGAACTGCTATCAAACCATTTCCTCATCTTAGTCTTGTTCGGAAATACATTTTGTTTGAATTTACGTAAAGAAGCCAACATGATTGGCCAAGACGAAAATTACCAATACCCAGTGGGGGATGGGATTTCATAGATAAGTGCGTCATCTGTGCGAAACAAGATTTCCGAGCGTGAATTTTGACTGATAAATATTTAAATACCAACCCAACATTTATTGCTGCTGAACCGGGAACCGGGAGAGGGACGGCGATAGGATTTTGAAACTATTAAACAAACCAATTTGGGGCAATCGAGTGGGGGGGTTGGACAACAAAGGACGAAGGACGAACGACTTGGGGGCATTAGCAGCTGTTGTCCCGGCAAGCAAACAAATCTTTTGTCTTTTGTCCATTGCGGTTGCCGGGGTCACCGGCGGCGAGGGTTGGTCAACCCTTTTAGGTTTCTGGAGTTCCAGCAGTTGGACTGTCAAAGTACATTTGCCTCGGTTACGCCACAGAAATCTCCCCAAAGCATGTAATGACAATATCAGGAGGCCTTGCCGCCCCCTCTACCCCCTCCTGACCACTTTATATCTGTTGTATCTTGTATATGTATATCCTAGCCCTCGGGGAGTTGGCAAAACTGGGGTGTTCCTTGGAATCGAGCGGAGTTTGTTGTGTTCCATTTTCATTTTGCGGCGTTGATGAAACTTTAATGACACTCTACACGCATTCAAGAAGCAAACGGCACGAGGGCCATGTGTCCAGCTTCGTTTTTTGTTTCCGTACCCCCGGTATTTTTCTGCACAATTTCACTTTGAGGCAGAAGACAGACAAAGCGGGCTAATGGCGGCTAATGAAGCCGGTTTTATTGGGGATTTTGTGGGCCATTGAACCCGGCTAGTAGCACTTCCAAGTTACCAAGTTCTTCGTAGTGTGTATGAATGTATTTATGAGGCCCAGGTATTCTGGCATTCATACGTCAATGTCACGAGTCGCAAGTACAAGGACTCTCTGACCGGAGTCGAGTGCAATGGCCAGCGGCCACGTGACCAAACACCAACCATCCCATATTCCAATGTCTCGCGTATGCAAATGAACAAAAAATTTGATGACAGCGTCGCCGGTGACAATGAAAAGTAAGCGAACTACAAAGCCAACAGTCCGAGTGTTACGCAAAAACAGAAAACATCGAGTGAAAACAAAAAAAAAACCTTCAAAAAAATCCGAGACCGACAAACGGCGGCAGGATACAAATCCTTTCACAGGCCTGCCGAAAATGCGCTCCTGCGAAAAAATTAAAACAAAGACATTGCAACAATTTACATTCCCATTGTTTGCCTCGGCGGCAGATACAAGTCCGCAAAAAACGGTAGATAGTTAGATACATAGATACACATGGTAACAGTGCGTTTCATAAATGCCAGGCCATTGAGAGTTATTGTTGACTTAAGGATTAGATTTTTTTTCAATTTAATTTAAATATATTTATTTTCATATATTTATTTTAATTTTGGAAAAGATCCTTTAGGAATATTTTTACTTGCGATTTTTTTTTTAACTTCATGAAACGCACTGTACATTTGCCTATAAATTGCAAATGCAGTCGGTCAGCCGGCAAGTTAGAGGAAGAAACGAGGCACAAACATACATGGAAACCGACGACAACTGAAGTAGAGGATATGGGCTGGAAGGACCAAAAGGACAGCTGGCAGTCCAGTACGACATAAAACCAGCACTTAAAAGTATGCTACGATCTTCATTGCAGAAAAATAATTAAAATTTAAAAACCGAAATGACTAAAACCTTAAACATCTGATTGATTTTTTTTGATAAAAAATAAAAATATTCTTAAGATTAGAATAAAAATACCAAAACTTTCAAAAATTTGATAACCTATAAGCTAACATTGCAGGGTATTTCAAAATCATACAGGCCAAATCCATTCTCGCCATATTCAACGATACCATTGCGATTTTTTCTTGGTGTTTTTGGCAACAGGAAGCATTTTGCATGAATTGCCCATAAAAATGATATGCACATCAAGATTGTCTGATGTGACTCTTGCGATAAGCGTGAAAATTTGCTTACTAGCACGACTTACTTTCTGAACATTTTTGGAAACTTTAAGGTAAAAGAACTGCTCACAAATAACTGAGCATGGCTAATCAAAAAGAACGATACTTGGCTAGACATTTAATTTGGCTACTGCAGCTAAAAGGTTTCCATCAGTCTCAGGCACACCCCGTCGCCCATTAACCGACTGTTATCCCACCTCTTAACCACCACCCCATTAACCATCTCCCATTAGGCATTACCCATTATAAGCTGGGGTTTGGATAATAATAGTACTATTACTGCACAAAGAGAAATATATATACATATTTATAATAATGTAATGTTTTTATGTTTTCTAGAATAGTAAAATGTTTTAAGCGAGAGAGATTCTCACATAAGTTTTATTTATAATTATAACTTTTCATTATCATTAACGAACATTTCTCTCAGTGAAAAACTCCATATAGTGGCATATTAATAGTCCACATTCCTTTTCCTTGGTCCCCAATCCCTCGTTTCCCCGTTTCCCAGATGTCATATGTCAGGCGGCTGTAATATTACGAGCTGATGACTCCGTTATGATTACTGTCAGCGGCAGGCACTCAATGAATAAGCAGATGAGAGAGTGTCAGCCTCTCACTTGTGCGTCCTTGTGGACTTATCACGCACTTTCCGCCCACGAAAACCACGCACCACCCACTCGAACCAACAACTACCACACATGTGACTTGAGGTGCCCCGCAGCGCCAACAACTTTGACTCGGCAACAATTTATCACAGCCAATTTAACCACTTAAGTGCGAAAAAGGTTTCAGCAGGCTGAACTTCACGTGTGGACTCAAAACTGAAGTAAAGTGCAACTGAGGAGTAAAATGTTGAATGAATTTCAGGACCGAATCTGGCCACTGACCAATGTGTGTCTGCCGGCGGCATTTATTTGTTTACAATCTGTTTGCGCAAAAGCTGCCACAGGACTTAAAAATCTGCATTTGCATACTGACACCAGGCAGGAATGTGCGGAAGGTCAAGAGGAGGAAGAATTCGGTGTTCTTGTATGCAAGGATTTAATGAAAAGAGCAGTTTCACGACAAATTTTATATATTAAGTATTTTTATTGAATAAATGAATCATTTTTAAAGCAGAACTAAGACTTAACCAAGATCACACTCAAAAACTTACTCACTGAAACTACTAAACTTGTGAAAAATCATTACACCAAATTTCCGTAGTTAAACCAATTTAATTACCATTTACTTGGCACTTTTGTGATGATGTTTTTATCATCTTTACCCTCTTAAATGAGTTTGGATGTCGCTCTACACCATATGGGAATCATCGTCTAAAGGGCTTAACCGTATTGCAGGCGGTCCGCTTCAGCTGAATGGCACCAAATCGGCTTTCGTGGCTCTCTCTTTCAGTCTCTCACATACCCTTATATGTGAATAAAAGTGCAAATTCATGTTTTGTTTGACAAAATCTGTATAAATCTAAAGACCAAATGCCAGCAGTCAACTCAGTGCTCAGAGCTCTCACAGCGGAGGGATTATAAGGGGAGCAAATGGTAGCGAGAAGGATTCAGGGAAGGACATCGAAGCCATGTAAATGGATTTTATTGGGGGCTTCTAGGTCAAATGGAATTAGCCGTCATTTCGGTGGGTAAATGGTTAGAAGATCCAAGACCCAAGACACGAACACTTGTTGCTTCGTGGAAAGCATTTTCACACTCATTAAAAATTTGCATAATTACGACAACCTCCCCCGACTCATTAAGGCTTTGAAGTAGACAGGACCCAAGGACCCAGGACACTCATAACCAAATGAGCTTTTCACAAGGCCGCGAAAATGTGTGAATTATAAATGCATGGAAATTAAAAACAATTACATGAAAATTCATTTTCCACCGCCCGTGCATATTTAAACAAATAAAGTGAGCATAACGATGCTAATCCTTTAAGCCACACCAAATGCCCATGGCTAGCGGGGGCGGTACACGATAAACGGGGACGGTGGCGTGGCTGTCAAAAAAGGGCTATCAATTTGCATTGCGTTTGGCTCATTAGCGTCGCTGCCACTGACCACTTGTAAATTTGGCATGTCTATATGGGATATTCTGGGAAATTTATAGCCTTGCGGATGGCATTGATCCACAGAGGGTTGATATTGTTGTTATTCTAAAAATGTGTGCTATATAATTTAATGAATATTATTACAAAAATGTATTGATGATTGTTTCTTTATATTTTCGGAACAAGAACTGTAATTAAACTTATAAACTCGTGTAGCTCACCTCGTTGACCCCGCTATTTGACAAAATAATGCGGTTTCAGCCCTGTTCGATGGT